CCAACCTATTTTTTTTTTTGGTAGTGTTTGTTCTTATAATATTGCACCCTCTTACCCATTTTGATAAATTATACGGTATTACTGTAGAAATTAGTTGTTAAATTTAATTTCTATAACTGATTGTGATGGTAAATATTTGACTATTTTTTTTTGTTGATAATGGCGATTAAAATTAATAACGAAAATAGACTGTGCACAAGCTAGCACGAGATCAACAGGATTGATCTCAAGGAGAAGAAGTCGAACCAAGCAAAAACCAAAAAACAAACAAACATAAAACAAGCTCAGAGCAAGACCCTACAATGCTCCGATTCGCCAATAAGAAGAAGAACGGAGGCCCAGAACCGGGCAACAACCCCACAACCCACTGTAAAGACCAGAAGGGCACCTTAGAAACAACAGCCAAAGCAATAAACAAACTGCAAAAGCTCAATCCAAACGTAGAGAACTATCCCCTCCCATCCTCATATATCCTGAGCCAGCTCTCTCCATCTGCTTTCTCGACCGTGCCTTGAGCAACTAACCACTCCATAGAATTCCGAAAAGCTCTCCTGGCCACAACATCGGCCGTTAATAAGGTCTTCTCTTCGAACACTCTTCGATTCCTTTCCAGACACACAAACAACATACTGTATGCACGATACAATCTTTGAACCATTCACCAATGTTGGTTGTTCTGATACTATCTTTGAACCATTCATCAATATTTTACTATTAACATGGAAATTTGGGCTATATCGGCTGACTATATTGACCAATCGGTCATGATCCGTAGTTGTTCGCCAGACCCCAAATAGACCAAATCACTATAGTCGTATTTCCCTTACATAATCCTTTAAATAGTATATTTCAAAGATACAGAGATAGGGTATGGTTTTACAAACACTGACCGTAACTCATTAATTCACTTCCATTCACCCATCAAACGTTCCCCGCCGGTGCTGGTTCTCTTCCCGTATAGCCCACGATCATAGACAACCCAGTAAAGGAATTTAGCTCTGTCTCTCTCTTAATCATACTCTGCGAAAGAAAGCCGCATACCTTCCACCCTCAAATTGCAGAGAAAAGCGTCGTGAAAAACACATTCGGCTCAAAACTCCACTCGAAATCGTCGTCGATCTCCACGGCGTGGGCTCTGAGATCGTCTTCTTTCGATGCACAAAGCACTATCAGTATCTTGCTGCTTAACTTGTTCGTAACGTGAATCGTCACCATTTCCGTAGAATCTTGCACTACTAGTACCGTCGCCAAAACGACCGCCGCTAGTAAGCGAACCAGCTAGTTGCTTCCTCGTGGCTAAAGATCATTACAATGATGCAGTCCTAATCCTTCTTCAGAAGCTTGTAGGAAGAACGATGATGTTAGAATATGACTTGAATTTGATTTGGGTTTGTTTTGGGTCTATTTTGTTTGGGTTTGTGTTTAGACTTTGTTTGACCTTTTCCTTGTATGTTTGGGAAAAGGTGTTGGGTTTTCTGTTTGGGATTAGGAGAAGAGTTCTATAAATACTCTTCACCACCGTAATCTGTTGTAAGGTCAGTCAGGTTAGTTTGTTTGGTTTGTCCGTTTGGAATTTTGTTTGTAACCTGTACTCTCCTCAAATTAGTGAAATTTGTCCCCCTGCCCGTGGATTAGCTAGCACACATTGTGTTAGTGAACCACGTTAAATTCGTGTTCGTTCGTGTTGGTTTGGATTATCGATTGCACGATTCCGTTCTGACAAGTGGTATCAGAGCCTGGTTGCGATTTTGGGAATTTGGCGATGGACTGAAGTTTTGCTTTGTGGAGTTTGGTTGGAGTTGTTTGATAGTAAGAATGGCTGCTATCAGTATGAAGATTGAGAAGTTTACCGGAAGAAACAGTTTCAGTTTGTGGCAGATCAAGATGCAAGCACTGTTGAAACAACAAGGTTTGTGGGCTCCATTGTCTGGAAAATCAAAGAAGGAAAGTATAGATGAAGAAGAGTGGATTACTTTGGAGGAGAAAGCTCACTCTACAATAGGGATGGCAAATTATCCACCCATGGGTAATTATACCCAAACCCAAGTAGACCCATTGATAATGGGTTGGGTATGGGTGAAGTGCATATGGGTTTGGAGGGTTTGTAGATGGGTTTGGATAAGGTATGAATATTGCTTCCATAATCTAAATGGGTATGGGTTGGATATGGATATCCATTTACTTGAGGTGTTTTAACTACACATGCAAAAATTGGACCTATTTGTAAAACTTGAAAAGTTTGGATACCAAAATGTAAGACCAAAAAAATTTAGGTACCAAAACGTAATTTTCCATCGATATTGAGGAATTATATGCAAAAAAATTAAATTTAGGTAATAAATATGCATATCTATTAAGTTTGGGTACCAAACTGTAATTTGTATTTGGGCATGGATACAAACCCAAATCCATTTGATATAAACCCAACTCAACCCAAAATAAATGGGTATGGATACAAACCCATCAAACTCTACCCATATCCATCTATTTGGATTTCATACCCAACCCAATTGGGTTTGATAGTAAGAAACCCATGAGTATGGGCAAAGTTGCCATCCCTACTCTACAATCTTGATTTGTTTAGCTGATGACATCATCACTGAGGTTGCTGCTGAGAAGACTGCCGCGGGTTTGTGGTTGGAGCTTGAAAGTCTATATATGACAAAGTCTTTAACCAACAAGTTGCATATGAAGCAACGTTTGTTCAGTTTGCGTATGAAGGAAGGTACGTCTCTCAGGAATCATCTAGATCAACTCAATACTATCTTGCTAGATTTGCGGAATATTGATGTTAAAATAAATGATGAGGATGCTGCCTTAATTCTGTTAGTATCTTTGCCACAGTCATATGAGAATTTTGTGGATTCTTTTATTGCTGGGAAAGATAGTTTGTCTTTGGAAGATGTCAGATCTGCTCTACATACTAGAGAGATTCGACATAAGGCATCTGGTTCAGGTTCGGAAAATCAGGCATCTGGGTTGGCTGCTACTAGTAGTAGGAGACAACAATCTGGTAATAGGAAGGCGAATACAAATTCGAATTCTGCTGGTTTGAAGGATGATATCTGTCATTACTGCAAGGAGAAAGGACATTGGAAATTTGATTGTCCTAAACTGAAGAAATATCAGGAGAAGAAGGGATCATCTGCTGCTGTGGAGGAAGAAACTAACTCTGATTCTGAAGATGGTTTAGCCTTAGCAGTGAATGAACAAGTACATCATCAAGATGTGTGGTATTTAGATACTGCAGCTGATTATCATATGTGTCCAAGCAGGGAGTGTTTTTCAACTTATGAGCAGATAGATGGAGGACATGTTTCTATGGCCAATGGTGCTATCTATAAGATTGTTGGAAGAGGCTCCGTCAGCATGAGAACACATGATGGTTCTGTTCGCACCTTGAACAATGTTAGGCATATTCCAGAAATGACTAAGAATCTGATATCTTTGAGTCTACTCGACAGCAAGGGTTTCAGCTTCAAAGGTGAAGGTGGAGTGTTGTCTGTCTACAAGGGTTCTAAGGTGATTTTGAAAGGTGTCAAGCTGGGTGCCTTGTATAGTCTACAAGGTTCTATTTTGACATGTTCTGTTGGTGATAAGTGCAGCAAGTTGGTTCTGAATGGGAAGTCTCAATATGGATTGGACTTGCCGAATGGTTTGAGTTGTTGACCGTCCTTAGGGGCATTTGGAGGCAGGGGAGATTCTGGTACAGCTGATCTGGAGGAGTTACTACGTTTGCAATTTTTTTATTGCGTCTAAGTTTGGCAATTTGCATCGCATTTGAGTTTGGCGATATGGATCGCGTTTGGGTACATCTAGCAACCTTGGTTGTGTCTGGTACATCTGGTATTTGAGAGAGAATTCAAGTCAAGGTGGAGATTGTTAGAATATGACTTGAATTTGATTTGGGTTTGTTTTGTGTTTTGGGTCTATTTTGTTTGGGTTTGTGTTTAGGCTTTGTTTGACCTTTTCTTTGTATGTTTGGGAAAAGGTGTTTGGTTTTCTGTTTGGGATTAGGAAAAGAGTTCTATAAATACTCTACACCACCCTAATCTGTTGTAAGGTCAGTCAGGTTAGTTTGTTTGGTTTGTCCGTTTGGAATTTGGTTTGTAACCTGTACTCTCCTCAAATTAGTGAAATTTGTCCCCCCTGCGCATGGATTAGCTAGCACACATTGTGTTAGTGAACTACGTTAAATTCGTGTTCGTTTGTGTTGGTTTGGATTATCGATTGCACGATTCCGTTCTGACAGATGATAAAAGTGCTGGTGCTTTGTGTTATAGTATACTGCCCTAATCGTACGTAATGTAGGGTTCTTGGCGACGTACGGCTCTGTGCATGGCTCCTATGTTACTTGGATGTATAGCGTCTCCGGATTGTTTTCGGCAGCTTTATCGTTTAGTTTTTGGGATTTATATCCAGAAGAAAGATCGATCAGTATATGTGACAAAACCCTACATACGACATTAATGAAAACTGTTACGTTTTCATTCATCCGAATGATACAAAGACAAACAAAATTTGTATACCCTTCACAATTTATTGATACCGAGACCTGTCATTACTCAAGGTTGTCGAATCGGTTTAAATTGTTAATCCGATGAAGTAAGTGGTCTGATACGAGTGGTGCTCCAATTGGTTTGCTGATCGTGGAGACCGGCCTACTAATACCAACTGCGTTAGTTCGGGATAGGCATTTAGAACCGTTAGTTCACATAACAAATTTATGTTGAGGAATTGGTAACTCAGAATAAACAAGCAGACATGTAAATATTAAAATATTAAAAATGAATTTTACTAATATTTTACAATGACCCAATTCGTTTATGTAAAATCTAGCGTTAGTTATATATATACGAAGTTAGAATGTATCACAAAGTTCCTTACAGCATGTTGGTATACATTTGAAACCAGTGAACGCTATTACGGGTCGGGATGGGTAAAATCCGCGCGGATACGGGACGGGACGGGTCGACCCACTCTTACATGTTATTTGAAAAAAATACGCGCAAATTTTACTTTTTACGATAAAACGAAGGGAAAAACACTTTAAGAATAAAAATAGAGATAATAGAATTGGTAATTGAGTCTAACCAATTGAAAAATCGACTATAACTAGTTGAAGAAAAGTCAAAATAGGAAAAATATGTATAGATATTGTAAGAAATTGAAGTAGAATGGAACAAGAACGGAGCGGAGCGGAGTGGGGAAGAGCGTATGAGAAGTAGATGTCCATGCTCCGCCCACGCTACTGCACGTCAGGTAATACCCGTTTCATCATAGGTCAAATCGAGTAATACCCGCGGGCAGATTTAAATTGTTGTGCTCGAGTCCCAAGCATATTTGTTGTACAAATACTTGTGTTGTGGGGGGGACGTTTGTGAAAGTGATGGCAATCCGAATATCTAGTCAGATCGGCCGATATTGAGTACTAAAGTTGCAAACCGACCACTTTCCAGTGGGTTTGGTGCTCGACACTTGTTGAATTGGTCGGAATGGCACCGATTTGACAACCATGTTCTATATCCATCATAGTCTAAAATTAGACCTTAATGAGATGATGAACTTAAATCTTAAACATTGGCATTTTTTTAATGTGGTGATGTAGTATAGAATTGCAACTAATCCGTGCCTTTTTTTACTTAGGAATTTCTCCTCATAATGGTAGTTAGATGAATTTCTAAAGTCACACCATTTTTTTTAGAAATATCTAAAATATATGCAAGTGGTAAAATTAAAGATGTTAGCGTAAATTGACACGGTTTTTTGTTCATTATTACGACAATTGAAGATTGAGGTCAACCCTTGTTTTGATCACATTTTAAAATTTCTAACCTTAATATATAATATATTTAAAATTTAAATTGATTTTGTCAATCTCTCTCTCTCTTTGAGCTTTGTATCTCACCACTCTCCCCCTTTCCTTCCTCTTTCTTCCCACCGCCTGAAATTGAGAGAAACCTAGAAACATCCCAATTACTTATCCAATTTTGCATTCGAAATGCTTCTTCTCCATTCACAATCAATAGTGTGAATCAGAGGACCTGAAACCTGGCGACCAAATGGCCGCTTATTCCTCTCAAATGGCGCATTTCTCCATAAAACATGATTGTACCAATATAGACTATGTGGTTTTCGCACTTGTGCGCGAGCGCTTGAAGTTTAAGTCAGGTTTGACCCATGAAGCATTCATACTTGTATAGGGTCGATCCATATACATTGTCTTCATTGTATGCTCTAACTGTGTCATGCTAGCTCGATCATGTGTCTGCGTATAGTTACATGCATTCTAATAATTAAGTTTTTACCTATTCACAACACCAAGATAAAAATAATCATAAATGTTAAAATCACTCTCAGGCCACGAAATTTAAAAGAAGACTCTCATTTTCCAATTTTATCATTATATTATGTATAGATTTGTCACAAAAAAATGCTATACTCGTTACAAAGGTCCATGTTTTGGTTACACTTCTGTAGTTTGTCTAAACTAAACTACACATACAATTTAATATTAATTTTTAAATCAATACTACTTGAGTTCCGATTTCAGAACTAATCTCATTCTATAAAATATAAATAACTTAAAGATAAAATATAAATATAGAAGCATCATCACCAAACATATTCCTAGAGTTTAATCAAAGAAATAACAATAGATATAATGTAGCCTAGTTGGTTATAATGCTCTTTCTTCATTTAATTGATCCAAGTTCGAACTCCAATGATAACATTTTTAATATATAAAGATAAAGTGGGTGCAATGACAAAAATGACATTCCTACAATCACTCCCAGGCCACGAAATTTGAAATGGGAGAATTCCAACCCATGTTTTGCCTTTATATATCTTGTAGATTAGATAATGGGTTTTTTCTTTTCTTCCTTTCACGTTCATTTTGATCCTTTTCTTCAATAGTAATTAAGAACGGAAACTAGGTTAAATCAATCAATGCCATCTAGCAAAATGAAGTCGTTGCTGAGATACAACTTGAGTCCCATAAACTCCATCATCGTACACATCGAAGTCCGCAACGAATACGTCGTAAGTGTATACATCATCTCCGTTGAACGCTGTGAAACCAAGACGCTTATCTTGAAACGCCAGCCGACACCAAAAAAGCGTCGCACGTGTCCACCCGAAACTCCAATCGAAGTAAAAATCCGCGACCACCGCGTGAGCGTGGAGGTCGTCGTCGCCGGATTGACAATGCACTATCAATGTCTTTTTGCTGCTTAACTTGTTGTTAACACGAATCGTGACATAATCATCTGTCGCCGTCCCAACTTGTATCAGCAACGTCGCGAAAACGACCGCCGCCGCTAGTCCTAGCCCAATGCGGATCGTTGTCATTTTGTATATCGTTCTTTTCAGGATCTGGTAAATATATAAGAATGGTGATAAATTATTGTGGTGTAGTATTGATTGGCGCCGATCCTGTTTATATAGCGTGTAAATAAAAGGTGCGTACGGCTCTCTGCTAGTTTCTTGGTTCTTACTTGTTGGTCTTGTGTTACTTGGACCTACGGTTTCTTAGGATTGTTTTCGGCAGCTTTGTCGTTTAGGTTTAGGGATATATAACAAGAAACACAAAACAATGGCTAAGAAGAGTTGCAACAGACTCAATCTCATACATAATGAAGTGTTTAAGATGCATATATGGTCCTCTTTCGCAACAATTCGCGAGTTATCGTGACCAGATTGTTTATGATAAGGTCTCAGAGCTAGTTTGTCATTGAGATCACATGTTAGCTCCTGATCACAACTCTCATTATTAACCGTTGTGTTAAAGCATATATATTATATGGCGGATCTGTACAGATTTCAATATATGAGCTCACTTTCATTATAGGAGTGTGTAAGAAAATGATTAAAATTAATACATGAACTTTTCTCAACAACTCGACGCCCAATATTAAACGTTGTCATACACGTATATATTTCTAGTCTTTCTAGCAATATATTTTGCTTGAATACCACCATCGTTTTACACGTTCCCACACACAAAATTCAAAGTCATGGGATGAAATCCCTAGCATACTATGTTCTTAATTTACAATCAGTTTGCTCCGTGACAATATTAAAAAATCTCTTGTTCAGAGAATCAGATCGGTTCTATTAAGGACAGGTCACCAAGAAAATTTTGGAGAAGAAGAAACTTCAACGCTCCCCAAGACAATAGAGCCATCATTGTGGGGAGGGTAAAAAGCATCCAACTTCGTTCCTTTCATTCCCCTGTTTCGTCGTGGCACACCCCCACACAAGCACCCCCGGCCCAGGTGGGACCAGAAAACGCCTTTCTATCACAATTAATTTATTATTCATTCTTTTTCTAAATTTGAATTAAAATGAAAAAAATGAAATCCTACTTAGATATTAATTTAAAAAATTAAGAAAATTCAGCTAATTATTGTATTGTTTTCTATTAGATCTGTCTGGTTTGCAACACGAACCATTTACACAACGGTTTCATTCAATCTCTGGGTAAGGGGAGGCTAAAAATTGAATCTAGAATAACCCAATGAGGAAGCAGCATAGCCGAGTAGCTAGGGGTTGGCTTCGCTCTTGTTCGAAGGGAGAGGTTGGGAGGTTGTGATGGGTTTGGATTTTCGGAGGCGACCGATGCTTTCTAACACTATGTTTGGCAACAAGGGGGGTGCAAGTTCGAGGGGGGTACAAGTTGAGGGGTAAATTGTTGGGGGGTACAAGTTGAGGGGTAAATTGTTGGGGGGTGCAACTTGGTGGAGGGTGTAAGTGGAGGGGTAAATTGTTGTTTGGATGAAAAAGTAGGGGGGTGCAAATAGAGTAAAAAGTAAGTAATTATATTATTATAAAATAGATTTATCAATTTATAAAATATTATCACAAAATAATAACATGAAAATTCAATATATAATAATAAAAATAATTTTAATAAAAATAATTATTATATAATAATGCTCAAATATAATTATTTATAACAACAATAATAATCATTGGTCAAGCAACCTCGAAACTCGAAATCCATTCAACGAAAAAAAAAAAAAGACACTCGAAATCCAACTCGTAACTGGTCATCCTAAGGGGGTTCTCGTGCCTAACTTTAAATTGAATATGGTCAAACTTAGTCAAACACGTTCGAATCTGTAAGTTTTAACTACTTATTAAAGTAAATCGAGTTAACTAAACTGTTCCTCTCTATCTTTTCAACAAATGCTTCTTATCTCTAATTTTCAATGCAAATTCGGGTCAACTAAGAGATATCGATTTGACGAGGCGAACATTGACAAACTTGCTCTCTTAGTCAAACGGTCAACCCCAAACAACTTCTACACTAATATAGATATAAGAAAAAATTAATAATATTAATTATTATGTAATTATAATCTAATTAAAAATTCATAATTCCCCTCCTCCTCCTTCCCCCTCCCTTCCTTCCTTCCCTTGCACCCCAATTTGGGGGGTAAGCCGAAACAGTGAATTTACGCTCACGTTTTGCACCCCCTACTGTTACAAAATAACCAAACGGGGGTAAACACCTTGGAACTTGTGTTTACCCCTCCAAACTTGCACCCCCTTCCATTTGCACCCCTTCCCAAACATAGTGTAAGTCTCGTTCTTCTCATTGTGGTTGAGCTTCAGCACGCACAACCACAATGCGGAAAGACGTGAGAAGTGAAAATGAAAACCTAGAATTTTGCGTGTTTTTCATTCATTCTTTATTTTAAATAGGCAAAGTTTGACCAAGCTTGCTTGTGGAGAACTACAAAAATAAAACATAACAACTCCAACTAAGATCTAAAATTAAATATTGACAATAAAACTAAATTTGATGATGATAACTTTTTCTAAACATTGTTGTGCCACTTAAGCTCTTTGACTTTCGTGGTTGCTACTTGCTAGTTCGAATTTCGATGATGACTTTCAATATCTCCGGTTAAACAACATATGACGGATGCCACAATGTTATGTGATCAGAAATTGTAGGTAGTCAATGATTTCTACGTAGAATTCGATTCTTCTTTCACTTGTTTTGATTTTAGTCGGAATGTCGATTTCAGATCCAGATGCTAAGAATTGTGAACTGTGGCCGGATAGATTAGTGAATTTTCCGTTTGTCATGTTTTCTTCTTGGGATCGTATAGAATGTCACTCGAAACAATGTACCTCGATCTTTATCAAGTTTACTATAATCTTTTTTCTCTCCTCGAGGATCCTAATGCTATAGCAGAGTATGCCAATTAGCCAATAACAAAATATTAAAGGGCTAAGTATTGGATCGTGCCAAACATCGACCATCGATCATCGCAACCCCCTAAACAGGTACGGTATCTTTTGCGACCGAATCAGAAACCGTCGTTAATTAGCTAGCGAGTTACGTTCCACCTAGCGAGGTGCAGCCACTCCCCACTATCGAGGTCCACCGCGTAAACCCCTCGATCGAGCACGTCGTAGCTGTCGATGTGCGTGCTGTGATCGTCCTGCTCGAACGCGGTGAAAGAGAGACGCTTATCTTCGACCGCCAGGTTGCACGAAAAGAACGTGCCGCCGAACCAGTTCTGGTCGAAACTCCACGTATAAGTAGTACCGGCCTCGATGGCGTGGGCGTGGAGATCGTCGTCTTTCGATTTGCAGTGCGCTATCACCGTTATCTTGCGGCTCAGCTAGTAACGCTTTTGTTGCCATAGCAAGCTGCTTCCTCGTCATTAGAATCTCTATAGTAGTAATCTTTTCTCTGTTAATTAATGATCATACCGATAATCAATTAATTGGGCAGTCCTTTTATAACGAGGAGTAGTAGTGCGAAGAAAGATGATGGTTAGGGTATAATAAAAGGCGGGTTTGGGTTCTAGGGCTCTAAGCGACGTACGGCTCTCTGCATCTGTCTTGGTTACTTGGATGTATAGTATCTGAGGATAATTTTCGGTGGGTTTGTCGTTTAATTTTGAGGGACTTATAGCTGACTAGATTAGATTTGTCCAGTTAGGCTAATCGACAATATAAGAAAGAACAAACAGATTTAGGTGGTTCATTAACACAACGTGTATAAGTTAGTTCACGGACGGGAAATAATCAACTTCACTATATATACTTTAGAAGATTGCAGATTATAGAAAAGTATGGTGAGAAGTATGTATAGTGTATCTCCAACGGTTTAGCCCCAACCCGGAACATAATAGAGGAACCTTGCTCATTCTAGCACTAGGCGCTTTGCTCATATAGAGGTAAACTATGTTCTCTCATTGAGTTATGGGTCTAGGTGTGGACATTCGATTGATTCGATAAAGCCAATCCAAAACAAAACCAATTCTAAAAGTCTGATTTTCCGATCCAAGTTCTAACCAAATTTAATTTTGGTTCGGTTTTTTTTTTAAACCAGAATATAGCCGGTTAGGAACTATTTGACCGATGATACCAAAAAACCAAATTCTAATCATAATGTTCTCATCCGTTTCCAAATCTGTCGCGAGCTGAATTCAATAAACTCAAAAGAAGGGACGATGCTGGTCAACTAACCACCCAATCAACTAGAAGAGAGCATTTTTTTTTTCAAAAGATATCATATATTACTTCAATCAAACAAGATAGTTACATCCTGGAAAGCAGCCAGGCTCTGAAATCAAACAAGCGATTTCCATTCGGGTACAAAGAGAGGGCTTTTCTAGCTACCGAATGAGCTACCCTATTGTTATCCCGACCTACAAACCGCACACTAAACCCCGGATAGGCAGCAAAATATTGACAAATTTCTTCCAGGACTGCCCCCAAGTGATTGTCACGCGAATCGGCTTGATTAATCTTGTCAATAATGACCTTCGCATCCCCCTCGAACCGAACATCGGACAAACCCCACTCTAAACACCAAGTAATAGCCTCACGCAGCACTAGCAGCTCCACCACCATCGGGTCATCCATTCGTGCAAATTGCACACCTTTAGCCCGAATGACCGTCTTTCCCGGACCACAAAGGACCATCCCACCAGCCGAGTGTGACCCCCTCCTAGTTGCCCCGTACCACATGCAAACCAACCGAGAGTCATCCACGCGGGTCTGGACTACTTGGAAAGACACCCTTGGCTGCTGGTCAACCGACAGACCCACCCGCTCCTCATATTGCTAGTGAAATTGGCTCATTAAAGCCGGAATCCCAAACTGTTTGCCCTCAAAGACAACCCAGTTTCGCGATCGCCAGATCTGTCAGAGGATGGCAACCACCGCCATAAACAGCGACGGATCATGGACAAGGGAAAGCATCCGCTTTAGAAACAGAGGAAACGTGTGCCGAGGCAAAGCCTCCCCTAAATAATCCAACCCCGAGTAGTCCCAGAGGGCCCGCGCCACCGGGCAGTAGAGAAACAAGTGCTCCAACGTCTCGGGCCCCTCCCAGCAAACCGGGCACCGGGGCAGCACATGGACCTCCTATTCAATGGGAGCCTCTGTGGTTGGCAGGGCCCGATTCAAAATTTTCCAGACAAAGACTTTAAGCTTTGGAGGGATCTTCGCTTCCCACAACCGGATCCAGCTTTTCCTATCCATCCAGCTCACCGGTTCCCGCCACCCACCCCTTCTCCTGTCAAGCTCAACTGCCAGATGGTAAGCCGTCTTAACCGAAAACACCCCATCAGCAGTGTTATGCCAGATAAGTTTATCATCCACATTCCGCCTCGGAAGTGGGATAGCCTTAATGGCCCCACAGACAGAAGGGTCAGACCATTGACTAAGCTTATTCTCATCCCAACGCCCTTCCCCTTGACAAATAACCTCCGCCACCACGGGATCACCCCCATTTGGCAGGATGCGGGGATTATAGCAAGGGGCATCCAGCTGAAGACCAGGAATCCATTTAGAATGAACAAGGGAGGCCGAGAGGCCATTGCCTATCTGCCATCTTAACCTTGCGTCCAAAAGCTAACGCCCAAACAGGATACTCTGCCAACCCCAAGAAGGCCTAGACCGGGCAGTAGCAGTCAAAAAAGATCCTTGAGGAAAGTATTTCTCCACACCAGATCATCAGTTGCAGTCTGCACCTTGTAATGTAAGTCACCAGTTTCATAATTAGTTTTAATATTTCTCTTCTTAATTACTTAGGTGACTCTTTCTTTTCTTTTTGTTTTTATGGACTAATTATTTTAGGGTTATAGGTATAATATGCCACTCTACTATGTCGTATTATCAAACATGCCCCTCTACTATTTTTTACATCAAACATGCCCCTGTACTTTGGAAAAATTATCAAACATGCCCTTCTATTAAAATTTTCATTGAAAAAATTGTCAATCATGGTTGAGCCGAGATTTAGACGACCCGATATTGGCAAATGGGAGGGAAAATGTCAGTATTTTCCCCTGTTTTATTTCTCTGAGTCTCGTCAAAGTGAAATTATTAGGATTATTTGGCTATATAAAAGAACCAAAAAAATTCTAAGGTGAAATTATTCGGGATATTTAGACATTTGTGTCGCCCAAACAAAAGTTTGGCCTTGTTTAACGGTTTTTGGATAAAATTTTTAACGTAAGTGCATGTTTGATAATTTTTTCAAAGTACAGGGGCATGTTTGATGTAAAAAATAGTAGAGGGGCATGTTTGATAAAATGACATAGTAGAAGGGCATATTGTACCTATAACCCATTATTTTATCTCCTTGATTAATTAAGATCAAGTCCAAACCAAAACCGAGGAGATCAAGAATCATTGAAAGCATTTTCGGATTGATTCTTATGTGTTTCATGGACCAATATTGTACGTAGAGGTGGCAATTCTCAATCCAATCCACCAATCCAATCCATCAACCCATTAAAAATATCCACCTAATCCAATCCATTTAAATCCAATCCATTTTATCCAAATCCAATTGGATTGGTGGATTCATGGATTGATCCACGGATCCAAATGACAAATTACGGTTTGGTACCTATACTTTTTATATTTTACATTTTGGTACCCAAAATTTAATTTTTTATACGAAAAATATCAGTGGAAAATTACGTTTTGGTACATTAAAGTTTTCATTATGACATTTTAGTACCTAAACTTTTCACATTTTGCATATTGGTCCTTGGTTTAGGATGTCATTTGGATTCATGGATAATCCACCAATCCACTTGATCCAATCCATGAATCCACCAATCCATTGGATCTAATCCATTTGATCCATGGATCCACCAATCCAATCCACCAATTCATGGATCAATCCATTTGCCACCTCTAATTGTACGTTAGTATTTTTCTGTATTTAATAGTTGACAATTGTCGATGTAATTTATATTATCAATTGCATTTTCAATATAGATATTCAAGTTCTTTTGTCCATAGGTAATTTTATTTGGGACAATTCCTCATCTCAGAAGACAGATGACAACTTTTTGTCCCGTTGTTGAATAAGTGACATTCTGTAGTCCCCAAAACAAAATTAAGGGATAATTGTTCATCTCTAAAAGTACAAAAGGTGACAACTTGTTGTCTCTAAAGATATAATATAAAGAACATGTGTTGTTCATAAATTAAACTTTCACGTACGATCTATTGACTCCCATTTGACAATATGAGACGACATGTAAACTCTATATAGGAAAAATGGACATCAAATTGTTCCTATATAGTCACAACATTTATCGTGAAATGGATTGCAAGGGACAATATTTTATCCCTAGAAATAATATTTAGAGGACGACTTATTATCACCAAAATCATGTCTATGGGATGATATGCTGTCTTACATGGAAAAGAAACGAGATAACAACTTGTCAATATTAGGGACGACTGTCGTATCCAAAATTGTAGACGACCTAAATTTTTTTCGTCACAAAAAAATAGAGGACAAACGTATAGGCCTATAGGGGACCACAAATTAGGGACGAGTCAGTCGTCCCCAATATATATGAGGACGATTTTGCCTATTTTTGGGAACGACTTTTGTCATCCCCAACCTCTTTTTTTTTTTTTTTTGTAGTGTTTGTTCTGATAATATTGCACCCTCTTACCCATTTTGATAAAGTATACGGTATTACTGTAGAAATTAGTTGTTAAATTTAATATCTTTAATTGATTAAGATTGTGATGGTAAATATTTGACTTTTTTTTTTATAATGGCGATTAAAATTAATAACGAAAATAGACTGTACACAAGCGAGCACGAGATCAACAGGATTGATCTCAAGGAGAAGAAGTCGAACCAAGCAAAAACCAAAAAACAAACGAACATAAAACAAGTTCAGAGCAAGACCCTACAATGCTCTGATTCGCCAAAAAGAAGAACAGAGGCCCAGAACCGGGCAACAACCCCACAACCCACTGTAAAGACCAGAAGGGCACCTTAGAAACAACAACCAAAACAATAAACAAACTGCAAAAGCTCAATCCAAACGTAGAGAACTATCCCCTCCCATCCTCATATATCCTGCGCCAGCTCTCTCCATCTGCTTTCTCGACCGTGCCTTGAGCAACTAACCACTCCATAGAATTCTGAAAAGCTCTCCTGGCCACAACATCGGCCATTAATAAGGTCTTCTCTTCGAACACTCTTCGATTCCTTTCCAGCCACACAAACAACCACACTGCATGCACGATACAATCTTTGAACCATTCACCAATGTTGGTTGTTCTGGTACAATCTTTGAACCATTCACCAATATTTTACTATTAACATGGAAATTTGGGCTATATCGGCTGACTATATTGACCAATCGGTCATGATCCGTAGTTGTTCGCCAGACCCCAAATAGACTAAATCACTATAGTCGTATTTCCCTTACATAATCCTTTCAATAGTCCCAACTCCCAAGCATATTTGTTGTACAAATACTTGTGTTGTGGGGGGACGTTTGTGAAAGTGATGGCAATCCGAATATCTAGTCAGATCGGCCGATATTGAGTACTAAAGCTGCAAACCGACCACTTTCCAGTGGGTTTGGTGCTCGACACTTGTTGAATTGGTCGGAATGGCACCGATTTGACAACGATGTTCTATATCCATCATAGTCTAAAATTAGACCTTAATGAGATGAACTTAAATCTTAGACATTGGCATTTTTTTAATGTGATGATGTAGTATAGAATTGCAACTAATCCGTGACTTTTTTTACTTAGGAATTTCTCCTCATAATGGTAGTTAGATGAATTTCTAAAGTCACACCATTTTTTTTTTAGAAATATCTAAAATATATGCAAGTGGTAAAATTAAAGATGTTAGCGTAAATTGACACGGTTTTTTGTTCATTATTACGACAATCGAAGATTGAGGTCAACCCTTGTTTTGATCACATTTTAAATTTTCTAACCTTAATATATAATATATTTAAAATTTAAATTGATTTTTTCATGAAAAGATACTAGCATTGTCAGTCGTACCAGAGCGACCAAATGACTTACTGATCTATTGTTATCCCTTCCCACAAACCCTAGTATCTCGCACAATATAATATAATATAATGGGTTTTTTTCTTTTCTTCCTTTCACGTTCATTTTGATCCTTTTCTTCAATAGTAATTAAGACGGAAACTAGGTTAAATCAATCAATGCCATTTAGCAAAATGAAGTCGTTGCTGAGATACAACTTGAGTCCCATAAACTCCATCATCGTACACATCGAAGTCCGCAACGAATACGTGGTAAGTGGCTACATCATCTCCGTTGAACGCTGTGAAACCAAGACGCTTATCTTGAAACGCCAGCCGACACCAAAAACGCGTCGCACGACTCCACACGAAACCCCAATCGAAGTAAAAATCCGCGACCACCGCGTGAGCGTGGAGGTCGTCGTCGGCGGATTGACAATGCACTATCAATGTCTTTTTGCTGCTTAACTTGTTGTTAACACGAATCGTGACATATACATCTGTCGCCGTCCCAACTTGTATCAGCACCGTCGCGAAAACGACCGCCGCCGCTAGTCCTAGCCCAATGCGGATCGTTGTCATTTTGTATATCGTTCTTAATTTTCAGGATCTGGTAAATATATAAGAATGGTGATAAATTATTGTGGTGTAGTATTGATTGGCGCCGATCCTGTTTATATAGCCTGTAAATAAAAGGTGCGTAGCGTACGGCTCTCTGCTAGTTTCTTGGTTCTTACTTGTTGGTCTTGTGTTACTTGGACCTACGGTTTCTTAGGATTGTTTTCGGCAGGTTTGTCGTTTAGGTTTAGGGATATATAACAAGAAACACAAAAGAATGGCTAAGAAGAGTAGCAACAGACTCAATCTCATACATAATGAAGTGTTTAAGATGCATCATATATGGTCCTCTTTCGCAACAATTCGAGTTATCGTGACCAGATTGTTTATGATAAGGTCTCAGAGCTAGTTTGTCATTGAGATCACATGTTAGCTCCTGATCACAACTCTCATTATTAACCGTTGTGTTAAAGCATATATATTATATGGCGGATCTGTACAGATTTCAATATATGAGCTCACTTTCATTATAGGAGTGTGTAAGAAAATGATTAAAATTAATACATGAACTTTTCTCAACAACTCGACGCTCAATATTAAACGTTGTCATACACGTATATATTTCTAGTCTTTCTAGCAATATATTTTGCTTGAATACCACCATCGTTTTACACGTTCCCACACACAAAATTCAAAGTCATGGGATGAAATCCCTAGCATACTATGTTCTTAATTTACAATCAGTTTGCTCCGTGACAATATTAAAAAATCTCTTGTTCAGAGAATCAGATCGGTTCTATTAAGGACAGGTCACCAAGAAAATTTTGGAGAAGAAGCAAGCTTCAACGCTCCCCAAGACAATAGAGCCATCATTGTGGGGAGGGTAAAAAGCATCCAACTTCGTTCCTTTCATTCCCCTGTTTCGTCGTGGCACACCCCCACACAAGCACCCCCGGCCCAGGTGGGACCAGAAAACGCCTTTCTATCACAATTAATTTATTATTCATTCTTTTTCTAAATTTGAATTAAAATGAAAAAAATGAAATCCTACTTAGATATTAATTTAAAAAATTAAGAAAATTCAGCTAATTATTGTATTGTTTTCTATTAGATCTGTCTGGTTTGCAACACAAACCATTTACACAACGGTTTCATTCAATCTCTGGGTAAGGGGAGGCAAAAAATTGAATCTAGAATAACCCAATGAGGAAGCAGCATAGCCGAGTAGCTAGGGGTTGGCTTCGCTCTTGTTCGAAGGGAGAGGTTGGGAGGTTGTGATGGGTTTGGATTTTCGGAGGCGACCGATGCTTTCTAAGTCTCGTTCTTCTCATTGTGGTTGAGCTTCAGCACGCACAACCACAATGCGGAAAGACGTGAGAAGTGAAAATGAAAACCTAGAATTTTGCGTGTTTTTCATTCATTCTTTATTATAAATAGGCAAAGTTTGACCAAGCTTGCTTGTGGAGAACTACAAAAATACAACATAACAACTCGAACTAAGATCTAAAATTAAATATTGACAATAAAACTAAATTTGATGATGATAACTTCTTCTAAACATTGTTGTGCCACTTAAGCTCTTTGACTTTCGTGGTTGCTACTTGCTAGTTCGAATTTCGATGATGACTTTCAATATCTCCGGTTAAACAACATATGACGGATGCCACAATGTTATGTGATCAGAAATTGTAGGTAGTCAATGATTTCTACGTAGAATTCGATTCTTCTTTCACTTGTTTTGATTTTAGTCGGAATGTCGATTTCAGATCCAGATGCTAAGAATTGTGAACTGTGGCCGGATAGATTAGTGAATTTTCCGTTTGTCATGTTTTCTTCTTGGGATCGTATAGAATGTCACTCGAAACAATGTAACTCGATCTTTATCAAGTTTACTATAATCTTTTTTCTCTCCTCGAGGATCCTAATGCTATAGCAGAGTATGCCAATTAGCCAATAACAAAATATTAAAGGGATAAGTATAAGATCGTGCCAAACATCGACCATCGATCATCGCAACCCCCTAAACAGGTACGGTATCTTTTGCGACCGAATCAGAAACCGTCGTTAATTAGCTAGCGAGTTACGTTCCACCTAGCGAGGTGCAGCCACTCCCCACTATCGAGGTCCACCGCGTAAACCCCTCGATCGAGCACGTCGTAGCTGTCGATGTACGTGCTGTGATCGTCCTGCTCGAACGCGGTGAAAGAGAGACGCTTATCTTCCACCGCCAGGTTGCACGAAAAGAACGTGCCGCCGAACCAGTTCTGGTCGAAACTCCACGTATAAGTAGTACCAGCCTCGATGGCGTGGGCGTGGAGATCGTCGTCTTTGGATTTGCAGTGCGCTATGACCGTTATCTTGCGGCTCAGCTTGTTGTTGACGTAGATCGTCACCCCGCGATCCAACGCGGAGACGGATATCAGAACCGTCGCCAGGAAGACCGCCGCTAGTAACGCTTTCGGGACCATCGCTAGCTGCTTCGTCGTCGTTGATTGTATGGTGATGGTAATTCTTAGAGTGATCTTTTTCTTTGGTAATGGCAACGATAATCAATATGGTTTTATAATGATTAGGGTATAATAAAAGGCGGGAGGGGATTCTAGGGCTCTTGGCGACGTACGTCTCACTGCATGTGTCTTTGGCTCTTACGTTACTTGGATGTATAGTATCTCTGGATAATTTTCGGTGGGTTTGTCGTTTATTTTTTATGGGATTTGTAGCTAATTAAATTTTGATATTAATTAGGTCAAATTCCAGTCCTTGGATGGAGAAACAATTGGTTCTTACTTGTGGCTCCTATATATGTTAACACTTTCCACCTAATCCGTTTTATCAGACCTTTTTTTTTTTTAGGAAGCAGCTCAGCCGGGACCGGAATGTGTACTTTTCTCGACCTGCCCTACGCTGAGTCTGTGACCGCCCATTTTTATCCCATTCTGACCTAAATCGTATGTTATTTTAATTTAATTATCTCATATTTTGTCTATAATCACAGGGATAATGTCAATTTATCAAATAATTAATTACATTCATTATGTTATAGTTTTTTTCTAGATTTATTTAATAAAAAAATGAATATTTTTGATTTCTAACATTTAAATTGCATACCCATGCCATATGGGACGTCATGTCCGATTCGTCCTGTTGTTATATTACTCGACTCGAACCCAATCTACAATGATACGAGTATATATATTGAGATATCCGCTTCTACCTGACCTACTGCCGTTCCTAACACTTGGATGTACAATGCCTCCGGATTGTTTTCGGCAGCTTTGTCGATCAATTATTTTGAGCCGGGACAGAGAGCGGATCCCATGACTAAGGGGGGGTCTTTAGTCACTTGACTAAGCCACTCCTAGCCATTAGATCTTGACACTTCAATCCAATGGTTAAAAAGTGGGAAGGGCTATTTAATTAATGATAGGAGTAGTTTGGGTATTATGGAAAATTACAAAGTATACAAACCGGATTTACAATCAGTACAAACCATACAAACATACGAACAATACAAACTAGAGCGACAAAACATACAAACAGATTCACAAACATTACAAACGTATGAACTGTACAAACAATACAAACCATACAAAAAGAAAAAACAACCGGGTTGACTTTGGAGGCTCCATCCCTATATAGAGGGGCTCCTTCCCAAAATCAACCTGGGTGTTTTTTAGACATACAAAAACAGTACGAAAATGGTGGACAAAAATGACAAACTAGACCGACAATCCATACGAACTGAAAAAACACCCGGGTTGACTTTGGAGGCTTCATCCCTATATAGAGAAGTTTCATCCAAAAGTCAACCAGGTTGTTTTTTAGATATAACAAACATTACAAACATGGTTGACAAAAATAACAAAGTTTACAAACATTACAAAATAACAAAGGGTACAAACATTACAGAATATGTCAACAAACATCACAAAGCACTGTCGCCGGAAAATTGTCGCCGGGAAAAAAAATTCCGACCAGAAAATCTCTCTCTCACGAAACTCCATGGAAGGGGAAGGGGAATATAATTCCCAGGCAAGTCTCCCTCTGGAAACGCCATAGAAGGGGAGGGGATCAGGGGAATATAATTCCCAGGCAAGTGGTCCGCCTCTCTCTCTGGGGAAACTCCATGGAAAGCCACCTGATACCGCTGGAAAACGATACGCCCGCCGGAAGAGCCACGGCAAGAAATCCGCCGTTTGGTACCGCCGAGGAGAGACGCAACGCAGCAAAAAAATAGAGTTTTTAATTAATTAATAATTGAAAATTAATAAACTCATGTAATTACCACATTGTTCTTCATTAAATTGAATTAACTGGAGCCCTTAGATTTTAATAAGGTTGAGTGGCTGAGATTCACTTAGCCATGTGACTAAGGGAACCCCCTAGTCACCAGATCTTAGCCCCCGGGACAACCAAAGGTAAGCCAAGAAAGTGTATTTCTACAATATATATATGCTATAAGATTTCATTCTTATGAACTTTATCTTAAATGAAATGAAAGTTAATTTGCGTTTTAAAACCTTTTTCCATCACAATCAGGGATGTAGAGAGCGCATATATACTTTGAGAAATCCCAAAAATGTCGAGATATGAAACTATTTTTCAATGAACAAGAATATCTCTCATATAGTCGGAAGGAGATTGGATAGCTAGGGAGATTAATGTTTTTTTCTTGGAACCTAATGATGAAGTGGTACCAAATTTTCTTGTGGGATCAAGAGTGTTTGTTATGAAAGCATGGAATCTATATATATATCATGGCAATTCAAAAGCAATCTATTGTCACATAAGCACTTGGAGGATCCATAATTTGCCAAGTTGGACAACTTTTTTACAAACAAAAAATTAGTTATCAATGTATTTATGGAGCTACCTCTCTTCTTTAATATTTTCATTTCTTTTATCCAATTATTCTTTTTCATTTATCCTTTTTTTTTACTTTAATAATAAGTTACATGTTGATAATCTTAACTAAACACACATAAATAATAATTTTTTTTGTCAAGTAATACAAAATATAAATTGGAAAACAGAGAGTGACATATATCACATTTTTTCAAATAAAAAAATCTAATTAAACCTTATGACTGAAATTTTCTACTCATTTTTACTAAAATTGAATGATAAGTTACATTTTGACGAGAAGATTAAACAAGCATACATATAAACAATGATGATTTTCTCGATTAAACAAAATATATATGAAAAGAGAGAAAATAAACATTTGACATCCAATTACCTTTGGAAAATAAACTATATTACTTTATATTTTGTTGCAATGAAACACTCTCTTTTTCGTAAAGTATATGTCTATAAAATAATAAAATTATTATTTAGCAAAATGTTAGAGTATAATCTTGATCGAGTAGTTACAGTTATTTATTTAAAAAAGACTTCTTATTCATTAAGATCATGTTCTACCTTAAACTCCTCAAATGAAGAGGAATTGCATGCAAGGGCGGAGGCAGAGTAGAACTGCCTGGGACGAGGGACCCACCCTGCATATTGTCCAAAAAACCAAAAAATAAGGAATGTTTGAGGGCAGCCAATCAGAATAGAAACCAACATCACTTCCCTCTCAAGATAGCTTAAAGCATTTGCCAGTAGGTAACCAAATATTTTGTGATAAATTGAACATTAGTAGGTATATACAAATGAGAAATTTTATAATGCTATAAAGTATTTATATTTTTGTTTTTGTTTTTATGGTACAATTTGAAGTTGTACATTTAACGTTATGGTACAATTTGAAATTTTACCTTTAATTTATACTTCTAACGTTATGTTAAAAATTCAAATTGTACTTTAAAGTATAGTAGAAGTACTCATGTAGAAAAAACTAAAAATTTTACATAAACAAACAAGTCAAACATACATCTAATTTTTTATTTCAAAATTCCAATCCCTAATTTGTTATTCTACAACTCCTTCCCAAACCAAGCTCAACTATCCCCAAACTCTAGCCTAATCTGCCCACCTCCAGTCCTGTTGCAGACGACCATATCCCGATCTTCGTTGGTCTTCTGTTGTTGTATAGTAGCTATTAGCTAAGTTGAATGATGAACGTATTTTTGAAACTTTTGAAAATACGTTATGAAAATTGTAAGTATTAATAAATTTATTTGTATCAAAAAAATATTTAATAGTTTTTCATTTTGGACCCACCCTAAGTCAAATCCTGGCTACGCCCCTGATTGCATGTACAATAATTTTATAATATGTCCTAAGTTCACATTAATAATATTTGATCTATATCATGTTTGATTGAGCAAGCTCTATTGAGGTCCTAAGTCATATGCTAAGAATTTTTTTTTTAAGACTTGGAGTTATCGTCAACGATTATAAACCAAAATTTTCAAAATGGCTTAAGTATGATTGTTGACGAAATTTGACTTCATAACCTAGGATGAGACACAAGATTCCTTGAAAAATAACATATGTAAAGGTTAGAGAAATCTTTGTTGAGAATCTACGATAAACATCTCGTTTTATCAACTAATAACCTAGGCACTTACCAAATAAAGGTTGGTAACTTTTAGTAAGATAGTCAATTGGGATTAACATATTTATCCTGCAATCAAGTATCTTTATCCAATCATCTCAACTCTCAAAATTGGTTGCCAGTTTGCCAAACTCGAGAAACACGAATTGATATATGTTGTATAAGATAATAAGTTAATGCAAATAATCAAATGATAAGACATTTTAAATGCACTTGAAATATGTGTGTATTGTAGACACTCTGTATCAATTATTAATATATAAGTGATAAACTCTTTGAAAATTACACATTCAACGACCATATAAAGCCGATATATAAACAATGACCACGGGTTGAGGTTTAGTCTAAACTTCAATAATTAACAATTGATACATATTATATAATATACTAAATTTAAGAGTCTTGATAAAAAAACTAACATGCAATATGAAAATGAGTCGAGATTAGAGAATTTAATCATCATGAGGGCTACAGTGTGTGTCAAGTTTCAATATGGATGAATAAATTGATCCAATAATGAAGTATCTTTACAACATTGACCGAGAGTTCGTCCAAACTCGAGGATCATGAATTTGTATTGGATTTCCAAATGACCTAAAATCCCAATCCTTTTCAGGGGCTAAATACCTCTGATCGCAACCATAGGTTACAAAGAAGAATGAAAAGAAGCCCAAAAAATGCATAAAAGAAAATAACCTCCGATACGATGAACAAAATAAAACCATATCAACCTATGATCCTGTCATCCCTACCATTTTATTCTCTATAAAGGGGGTTGCGAGAGAGGATAAGAAATAAATAGCAGGATCTTAGGATTTGTCTGAATTGCCTCTTTATATATTACATATCGAACGATAGACAACCCCAATGGGTTTCTGACGTTAAGGGGGTAATAGCGGGATCTCTATCCTGGGGGTGGGGGGATAGGCAAGTAGCACTTTTAATATGAGTATTAGGTGAGATATGATAGGTCTGACAAAGTATCTGGATAATTTTGAGTCTACTATATATATACACACACATATATATATATACTTATATATATGGTTCAGGCTAGCGTACACCAGGTGTACATAGTACGTCTGTGTACACACCTATAAATTAATTATTAATTATTTTCAATTAATTATAATCAATTTAATTATTGATAATAAATATAATTACAATCATAATCACTCGTTAATTGTTCTATACATTTTAGTCCCATATCATTTTTTTGTCGTACATTAAACTCAAATCAATCCTTTAACTATTAATTATATAAATCATAATACTCTTTTCTCCAAATCTTAATTTTACAACACCCGAACTTTAAAATTATCTGCAACTTTCATTCCTCCCTAGTCCCTACAACAAAAATTGACCACGCCGTTTTGTCATCATTCAATCTCTATTCATCTTTTCTCCAGAAAAAAGAAGTATTCATTCATCTCTATCTCCTTCGTCTAATCATCTTCTTCATCAGATGTGAGAGGGTGGTTTTTACTTGTAAATCCTTTGTTCCTTTAACTACCATTCTCCCTTGATTCAGATCGGCCCGCCATAGCTTTAGATCCCCATTCGCCAATAGCCGAATCCCCTTTGCCAAAAATCGAGCATCATAGGTCAACCAGGAGCTGGGATCCCCGCCTTCAGCAATCGATTTCGTTGAAATAGGTACAAGGAATCCCCAATCCGTATGTCTCTTCAGTTCTTCGACGCGAGCTGTACTGGCTGGCCCTCGTCTTAAAGACCTCATTCATCCAAACAAGTATCGTTTGCCGATTTCGTTCCAGCTGCTGTCAGTCTCGAAGGGATTTCGCGATCCTAACCGTCTCTGGTGCTGTATATGAAACGCCCCTCAGGTAAAATCCCTAACCTTTCTTTTGATTCCCCTGATTTTCTCTTTCCGCTGTACAATGCGTCCATGCCATCTGCAGCTCTCGATTGATCGGTTAAGTAGGATAAATTGCATTTCTCCTGTCTTTCCCTGATCTCCCCAAACCCGATCGGCCTAAAACTTTAAGAAGAATTCGAACTCACTTCTCTAGGTCCCTAAACCCTCTTCTTAGTTTTGCCTGCTTGTAGCATTAGACTACTGCAACATCGCCTTCCCCTCCTGCCCAGGCCACGAGCATGCTCTTTGAGCCGTTTCCTGGAGGCTTCTTCTCCTAAACACTTTGTCCCTCAAGACTTTTCTCGTGCCAGGGTAAGTTTCTTCAACAACTCTTCCCGACGCTTCAGCTCGATTTCTGCTTCCGGTACCCTTGTTTGGTTACACTACGTAGTTGCCTTCGAAGTTCTTTTGCTGCTGTTGCTCCGACCAGTTTCTGTATTTGTATCCATCCTTATATGACAGCTTTGGCGAGATATTTTTGTTTCATTTAAGTTATTTCAGCTTCACCATTCATACATTTCATTCTGTCTTTGCAGGGGTTGAGGAGAGGCATATTGGGATCATCGTCTATGTTTTATAATATGTAGTGTTTGCGGTTTGCCTATTACCATTGATGTGGGTACAACCAACGAGAAATTGATGATGATGATGAAGTGTGCATAGGACTTAAACAAGGAGGGCTACTAGCCAGGTACCATCCTCTCCCTTGAATAGAATTCAGGTCCAGAGTTTTGTGGCAATTCAATTAGCAAATGCCTCATTACTTGTCCGACCTTCTGCCGTCTATTGTTCTCTCAACAGTTTCAGGAGAATAAACTGATGAACTCCATTACACAGTATCAGCTACTGATCCAGAAGTACATGGTTATGATGGAACTCGAGGTAGCTTTCTATCTTGTTATTCTATTCCCTTTAGATGAGTCGAATTGAAGTAGCTTTGACTGATTGCCTCGTTTTTTCATCAACAAGAGAGGAACAAAAGATTGTTCTATGAGTTTCTCGTTGACGATGTGGAGTTGTAGCCACCTGTCTACGCTCCACAGCTGGGGAAGCTTCCCAGAAATACGACAACATTATAAGGAGCGCTCAGGGTTTATACATCAACTTGAAAGATAAGTATAGACATTATGATTCATTTCTGTGAATAAGTGATCCGGTTTTGTGCTAGTTGAATGTTTCAGTTCCTTACAAAATATGATTGGTTGGCTGTACAGGAGGAGAGTTCTTGATGTGCTGAAGAACTGGCCTGGGAGGAGCATACAAGTCATTATTGAAAAATGTAACTAAAAAAAAAAAAAAAAAAGATTTAGTGCCTCACTCCAGTGAAGCAAAAGCATGGATGAGGCAACTCTAATCATGGTGAACACATTTATTTGGTTGGCAATTGATTTACAGCATACCAAACAGAAGCAAAGCAACAGGACGTGGCCCTCTAGTGAACCAAGATGTCACAAAAAGCAAGCAGAAAAGATATTCATAACTACTAGATGTAGACAAAATCAACCATACAACAAAGGAATTCGCCTAAAGGATCATATCAGCCCCATTTTATATTAGCCAACTGTATCATATCAGCTACCTGTAAATGTTTCATATCACCAACAGTTTCAGATTAGCCAGGATTTCGTCTTCTCCTCTCAATGCATCATATCAACACTGGAGTGACAGTTCCATGACTAAGAATCATGCTAGCTATATGTATGTATCACCCCATTTGAGATTAGGTATTGCATCCATGGAATAATATCCAGCACCTGTAAATCCACAATCAAGAGAATAGAAGTCATCAAGGTTTGCTCTGTATCGAAACAATTGAAGGAAATTAGAAACATATCTTGTTTCACAAAATGCTGCACTTCTTGTTTCTATCCCTAATGTGGTTCTTCCTGACCAAGCTCGGACTCTAAACCACTCTACCTCTGTTGATGGCACTAACTTTATCACACTAACTAGGAAAAGGGTTCATCCCAAGACTTACTATCTTGATTTATTGTAACTACCCAAAAGCACATACATCGAGCAGCAATCACACCAACCTAGCAAGCTGGCCAAACATGTATAAACAGAACCAAATGCTCTCTGTCCAAAACTGTAGTAAAATGACTTGTCGCTTCCTGGATAACCCTGCATTCTGGTGAAGTAATGATTATGAAGAAACCACAGGCAAAGAGCTTTATAAAAGACCTAACAGCCATAGGTAAATATAGTTGGGAATAGTAATACACCAGCACATTTCGGTCACGACACTTTGATTCACACCTTCCAAGGACCAGAAGGTTCATCAAAAAACATCAGAAATAAAATTGTGCCTACCTTTTCCATCGCGCACAGATCGGTTGGCTCAAAACCTTTGCTTTTCTCAAGCCACTGCACTTAAATAAATAAATAAATAAATAAATAAATAAATAAATAAGATGGTGGGAGAGCAGAGCCAGACCCAGACTGTCGCTTGCATTCTTGAGCGAATGCTTTGTAATCAAACCCAGATGGAGGGAACATGATGTGTTATGTTCGAGTCATCGGCATTACCATCTCCGTGCAAGCCTGGATAGTAGAAAAAAGAATCAATCCCATGAATGAAGATGAAGAAAAGCTTCAAACTTCCATATTTTTTCTCCGCTCACCTGCCAATCCCAGCCATGCAGGCCATGAGAATCAGGAGCATGTTCCAACTCGAAGCACTTGTGGGATTAAGAGTAGTTTTAATACAAGCTGGCTGCTCCAAACACTCTCGCGAGCTTTGAGGTTCCGGCTGGGAATCTTGCACGTCTTTTGATCACATAAAGGACCAAAGTAAGTTGGAAAGACCCTCTGAACAGCTGAAGATTTTCACATCAAATCAGATAATAAAGTCTGCTAACTTCCTCAACAGGGTACGCAGGGAGTGGAATCATGAAATTTGCCTCGGTTGGGTATTTCACCATTGCTGTGTATACATATGCTGACCATAGCCAGTCCAAAACTGAATCTACTGACTGCACATTTCTGTAGAACCAAAAAAGACAACGAATTTAATCATTGCAAGTGATAACCTAACACATCGCTCACAAATGCTAGCTCAAGTTTCTTTTGATTTTCGGTATGCAACTGCTTTCAGCATTTCACATAAACGAGGCAATAGGCAATAGTGCTAACTACTCACTTGCAAGCTCTGAAGGTTCTGCTTATTTCAGCTAATCCTTGTTTCTTTGCTGAAAATGTCAAGCTCATCCCAGCTACTCTTAATCACTTTGTAAGTGTTCAGGCTTGCCTCCTATCATTCATGTTCACATTTTAGGCATAGCTTGAAACAAAGAAGACCCTAATAAAGAGCATAAAGATGGCTGAGAATGAAAGGTAAGACTAGAAACCTTAAAGTCTTGGGAAACAACATCATAGAAGCTGGACAAGGGATCTGGGCCTCCTTACTCAACCCTGTCGACGTCCTCCACGGGGACATCGGCTCCTCTCATCGTCCTCTAGAACAAGTCCGCCAACACTGTTGAGCTTCTCCGCCTGGCCGCATGAACTATGGACAAAGGGGCCTGCTTGGTGTCGGTAACTTCCATCGAATTGAGCTCCGATCCGCTGCGAGATGAAGATGAGCAAAGGAGTCGGAGAGTTTTGAGAGATGAAGTGCAGAGAAGAGATGTGTTGAGATAAGGGATCAGATTTTTCAATTCCCTCTTTGAGATTTTTCAATTCCCTCCTTGACTGAAGATTGAATACATGTCTGTCAAATAGACCTCGCCGCCTGGGGGAAGAAGAATAGAAGTTAAATGAAATTCTATAAGAAATTGAATTGGAAAAGATGGAGAATAGATTTCTAATTCTAAACACAAAATTTGGGTATTCAAATTTGTGATTTAGAAAAAGAAGTTACGAAAATTTATATAATCGAGAGTTGTATGATTGATTTCAGCATAATGAATGATAAAATTTATGCGGTATTCAACCTTACAAGTCAATTATTTAATGAATGTGATTGTAATTTTAATTATTTTTAATAATTAATATACTCATAATCAAATTAAAAATATTCAATAATTAATTTATTAGTGTGAACACAGGCATACACCGTACGTCAGGTGTACGCTAGCCTTTGCCATATATATATATATATGGGGAGTTCTACCGTACCCCGGGTGAAATCCGGGGTACCGCATACCTTGAGTAAGAAAACGTTATCCAGAACTTGAATTGACTGATCTTTCGGACATGATACTATACTCTAACCCTTAAAGATCAAAATCTAGGTATTAATTCTCTAAATCTTATACTCCAAGATCAATTTAATTAGAAATAATAATCGACGGTTATGATTCGTCCAAATATAGGCAAAAAAATGAAGGCACCATCTTAGAGTTTATAGTTTATGATTTAGATAATTAGGACCTAGGGTTCACTCATTAAGCGTTAGGGTATAGTATCATGCCCAAAAATCCTGCTAATTCGAGGTCTAGATGGCCTTTTCGTACTCAATGTATGAGGTACCCCGGATTTCACCCGGGGTACGATAGAAGGCACCATATATATATATATATATGGCGAGTTCTACGGTACCTGGGTAAAATCCGGGGTACCGCATACCTTGAGTATGAAAACACTATCTAGACCTTGAATTGACCAATCTTTCGGACATGATACTATACTCTAACACTTAAAGATCAAAATCTAGGTGTTAACTCTCCCAATATTATACTCCAAGATCAATTTAATTAGAAATAATAATCGACGGTTATGATTCATCCAAATATAGGCACAAAAAGGAATGCACCATCTTAGGGTTTATAGATTATGATTTAGATAATTATGACCTAGGGTTCACTCATTAAGGTTTAGGGTATAATATGAGACACAAAAATCCTGGTAATTCGAGGTCTTGATAGAGTTTTCATACTCGAGGTATGCAGTACCCCGGATTTCACCCGGGGTACCATAGAAGCCACCATATATATATATATATATATATATATATATAATATCAAGGGGTGAGTTCTATGATACCTAAGGTGAAATTCAGGCTACCGCATACCTTGGGTATGAAAACATTATCCAGACCATGAATTGACTGATCTTTCAGACATGATAGTATACTCCAACCCTTAGAGATCAAAATCTAGGTTTTAATTCTCTAAATCTTATACCCCAAGATCAATTTAATTAGAAACAATTATCAATGGTTATGATTCGTCCAAATATAGGCAAATAATAAATGCACCATCTTAGGGTTTATAGGGGAGCAGATCAGGTGAGTAACCTTGTGGTGAGTAACCATGAGTAACCCGTCCACATCAGCATGACATCAGCATCATCTCTCTCCTGAAAAGCCTTTAATTTTCCCCTCTTTAATCTTTGACGAACGATTTCTCACTCATTTTAAGTCAAAAAATTTTTTTTTGCACAGTTAGATCAGATTAATTGTGCTCTTCAAAATGATATCCACTTTAATATATTTTTCGAACAAAAAAAATTGAGCCATTTTTTACCAGTCTATACCATATGGTATTGACTGGTATTGAAATAAAAGCATACATATGGTTTGAAAAAAGTACCATGGTGGTATGAACAAACCAAGACTGTAGGATGGTTGAATACATGATAGTAGAAATATATTAATTGTCATTTACGAAATTTAACATTGTATACCACAAGTACCACCCCGTACCAGGGTGGTATTGTATGGCATTGTGTGGTATTTTTTGGTCCTGTAATTTGTTCACCCATAAATTTGTAGATCCAATAGATCATGATGAACTCATCCCTTCTGTGCAAACGTTTTCAAAAACGAATTAAAAACGAAGAAGATACCATACAATACCACCCCATACCAGGGTGGTATTGTATGGTATTGTGTGGTATTTTTTGGTCATGTATTTTGTTCACCCAGAAATTCGTAGATCCAATAGATCATGATGAACTCGTCCCTTCTGTGCAAACGTTTTCAAAAACGAATTAAAAATGAAGAAAATATCATATGGTATGCAGTTGGTACCGAGAGTCCAGAATTTTTTGTTCTAAAAAAATATTGAAAATTGATCTCATTTTGTAGAGCACGATGAACTCGTTCCACCTGTGCAAAAAAAAAAAAAAAATTTGAGTTAAAACGAAAAAGATATGAGCCGATTAAGAAAGCTAGAGAAAATAAAAATGATCTTTAATTCTCCATCCTTAGATCTGGATTTTCTAAATGAAGGGTTCAGATTTGGTTATTGATGGATGCATAACCCATGGTTATGCACCCTATCTTGAGCCGGTTTGTAGTTTATGATTTAGATAATTAGGACCTAGGATTAGGGGTGTCCATTCGGGTTCGGTTTTTCGGGTTTACCCGAAACCGACCCGCTTATATACATTTTCGGTTTTTCGGGTTTGGGTTTGTTTCGGGTTTCGGATTTTTCGGTTTCGGGTTCGGTTTTGCTTATCGGTTTTTCGGGTTCCGGCTAAAAACCTCCAATGAATAGAACTCAACCCGTATTCTTAGGCTTTCCGATTTTCGGGTTTTGGTTTTGCTTTAACCGAACCCGAACCCGATAAGGAATTTTCGGGTTTCGGGTAACCGGAACCCACAAGTCATTATCGGGTTCGGGTTTGGTTTTAGTGGTTTTCGTTTTCGGGTTTTCGGGTTTCGGTTCGGGTAACCGAACCCGACCCGAACTGACACCCCTACCTAGGATTCACTCATTAAGGGTTAGGGTATATTATCCGGCCCAAAAATCCTGCTAATTCAAGGTCTAGATAGAGTTTTCATATTCAAGGTATGTGGTGCCCAAGATCTCACCCGGGGTACGTAGAAGCCCCCAATATCAAGGTATACTATACTTTTGATTTTACTCAAGATACGATATAAGAAAGGTATGACGAAGTATGTGCATAAATTAGAGGTTGGAGAATTAGAGACTGGAGTTCACCTATTAGAGGTTAGGGTATAGTATCACGCAGCAAAACACTCCGATTAATTCGGGGTCTAAATAGTAAAGCTCAATGGTCGTATGATAGCATACTCCTGATGCACGCTAGCTTGAACTATATCTGTGTGTGTGGTTCAGGTTGGCGTACGCTAAATATTAGTGTTTTGGTTGGCAAATTTTGACATAAGTTATAAATGAGACGTGACAGTGACATCATTTATGATTAGAAAACCGGAGCATCACAAGTGAGTGTGCTAAATATTGATAATTTTCAATATAGACATGCTACAAACTCTGTTATGAATCAAGAACACAAAATATTTAGAAAATCCAAAATGATTTAAACATATACAAAAGTTAATTAATATAAGTGATAAATTTTTATAAAATAAATTTATCCGGCCAACGGACCGCATAAAAAGCTATTTTGTATATTATATTTATATCTATTTCTATTACTAGGAACTTTATGATAGGTCAGAACAATATATGCGTAAATATCAAACTCTTGCTACTAATTGTTTTTTTCTTCCTGATTTGGTAATTAATTACCACTAATTATGAGGCAATCCATTGTTAAGTAGACAATATATTTCATTATAGTTCTATGATTCAGAATATCATTTCCTATTTGATCCCTTTCAATTTCATATTCGAAGTTTCGATTGGATCTATTTATTAACAAGTTTCAATACATTGTTATGTACCCATAGGTGGATTTTTATTTATGGTTATATATATATGGTGACTACTTCGGCGCACTCATAAAAATGAGTGCGTTCAATGCACCCAACTCAAAAACTAGTCTTAAGGAGTCGGATTTTGAATTTTAATTTATAGAATTAGTATAATATGATGATATAACATATGATAACAACTAATTAGCGGATTACCCTAAGCCCTAGACCTCCAATTTTGAGTTCTATCCCTAAACCCCAAACTGTAAACCCTAACCCTAACCCTAGATCTTTAAACTCTAAATCCTTCAAATTAAAGCAAATCTTTCATGGTTTTTGTGCAAATTCATGTGTGTTATTGTTCATCACATCATAAGTGATGATTGACATCATTTTGACATAAATCTCATGTTTAAAATGACGATTATGAAGCGAGTGCACTGAATGCACCCAAAAAAGTGAGTGCGCCGAAGACAACACCATATATATATGGCAAAGGCTAGCGTATGCCTGATATATGCTATATGCTCGCATTCACATTTATTATTTGTAATATGATAGATTACGACGAATCAGATTCGTCAGTTATTGTTTTTTTTAGATCAAATAAATTTTATGGTACTAGTTAGAGAATTGGGTACTAGGGTTCACCTATTAGAGGTTAGAATTTTAGTACTATGCTCCAAATTTCGATTAATTCGGGTTGTAAATAATAAAAATCAACGGACGTATCATAGTGTGAACGCAGGCGTATAGTGTATGCTAGCCTGAACCATATATAGTGGTGCAGTCAGAATTTTAGTTGAGGTGGTTCCAAATAAAAAATTTGTTAGCTAGCATCATTTAGATTTTAGAATGATCCTAACGTGTTTTCATATATAATTTTTTTTCTAAAACATATTTTTCATTCTCAATGTTGGAACTTGGAAATATAAAATACAATCAATCGTAATAATTCCTGGAAATATAACATATTTTAGAATGATCCTAATGTAGATTATGTGTATAATAAAAGCGCCATAACCACTATTAATTAGTTTAATAAATCATATGCCATTTGTTTCATTTTTTAATAATAATTTGTTTATCACACAAATTAAATTAATCATACTCTATAAGATTATATTTACTAACATATTTTAAAAATAACTGTTAATTAAGCATTCTACAACATCGTATATATGAGCATTCCAACGTTAAAAAAAAAAGAGTATATATTAGCATTCTTCAACTATAAATTATATTTACTAACATATTTTAAAATAACTGTTAGTTGAGCATTCTATAACATCATATATATTAGCATTCTTCAAGTATCAATTTTCTTACTATAATACCTTCATCTATGTGACAAGTCCTCACTGCGCCTCACCATCAATTTTTTGATAGATTGTCATGAAAGTAGGTCTCATTTTGCTAACTAAACTTTTAATAAGCTCTCAATCTGTCTAAAATCAACCTAAAATGACCTTGATACTTCCCACTTAATCCATGATTTGCAAACAAAAAATAATTACCAATACAGATAGAAATTGGCATCCTAGGAGGTGTACCCATCATCAACCACTAAACTTCCCTAAGCCGTTTTTACAAACTGGCCCATAAGATCTACAAATACAAGTATTTTCCATAGAAACATTTGTGAGAAGCTTTATCACTCAAATTGTTGTGGTTCGCATTTGAAAGCTGCAAACTCGAACCTGAACCACAAGCTCCCCCAAAGACCAGATATATCTTGATAGATCCAAATGTCGTTCCAATGATCCTAAGATTTCCCAAAACTGAAAATTAAGTTGTTGTAGAAAGACTAGAAATGCACCAAATCATTTGTCCAGTATGATAGTGGGATCAAGCTCATGCCACACATAATCGTAGAATTATATATTCTCCGGTTTCTAATTTGTAAGATTACTTTTGATCATGCATTCCAATATATCTATGGAATTACGAGTAAGAACTAGATTGAACAATTTGCTCTTTCAATGGGAATTAAGATTAGATTGCGAAGAAGTGAGGTGCTGAAGTTTGCCATAGATGTACTATTTGACCTCAAACATTATTTCTTGCATCTTATATTTCATAAATCAATTCACATAAGTTAGAATTGAGAATTGTCAACCAAGAAAGACAATGTGTTCTTTATATAAAGAAAAATGTATCTATTGGAAAATTGTCAACACTAATACATGTAATTCATTAAGTTTTAGTCTATAGGCTATCAAATTATGTGTTGGTCGCTGAGTCTTTTTATCAGTGTTAGGGAGAAAGAGAAAATCTTAGAAAATTATCATGTTTCGAACAAAGTAAATTCTACTCCGTAGAAATGATGTTTAATATTTCCAAATAATTTACCATTATGGATTGCCTTCCAATGAAATTTAGAGAAAAGGAAGAGGCTAATATAAAGATAAATGTTTCAATAGCGGATACAAAAGTGATGTTATTGGCGGAAATGATAATGTTTTTTTATGTGGAGCCGTCACTAAGAAATTCAAAATGAAATTTACTGCAATTCTTGATAGCGAGATGCAAATAGTATGATCTAATGCTAGTATTAATAGATAGGTAATTTGCAAGATCGGTAATTGGAAGTGCTAAACAGTTCGCATTTAATTAGTATCTTATTTCTTTGTAGTCACTAAAAGTGGTAAAATGTTACACGTTTGATCATTCTTTGTTAATTTCTATAAACCTCCATTAAAACTATCAGTGTTGATTGAACTCGGCACTTCATAAATTTCGACCCTCCATGTCAGCAAAACCCATCACATCATACTTTCAGGTTAAAGACAAGGAGTATCCAGACATCTTTACATGCTAAATTCAGTAAACTAAAAAAAAAGAAGACGCTGATGATCAAACAACCACAGACCAATAATAAGTTAACATTTTTGCCACAATATGGGCCGCTCTTAGATCAATGATTGTATTGAGGTTTGGCTGGGGCTAGTTTGTGGCTGTGGGCTGGCTGGCCGTTAGATTAGAATTTATTGAATTTAGGGATACACTAATTAATTAATGCAGCCCATATATACTTATATGACACGCACACAGGCACACACAAGAAGTTTGGATGTTTGGGTTGGGCTGGAATATTAGCTTGGACGGGTTTGTGGGCTAGTGGAAGCCAAAAGAGCATCATCACGTACGTTCGGAGACAGGCTTTCTCCCCAAACCATATTATTGCTTGTTCGCCACCAAAGTTCAGCCGGATAGGAATGGCAACGGGTAGGTTCCGAGCGGGTATCTCGATACTCATATTTGTCATCTGGCAAGTCGGGTAGTTTATTATGAGGCACGGATCGTGACAGGTCGACTCAATGAGTATGTAATTTAGATGAAAAATATTAGAGATATACGTTATTTTCATTAAAATACCAAGAAACAAACCATAATATGGTCAAATATACTTTTAAATTATTGAAATTTTGAGGTTTTCACTATTTTTATAATTTCATTATAGCTAAAATATGATATGATAAAAAGAAAATCATAATTAATTTCAGTAAGATTACATGTAATTTAGGCAAGAACGGATCGAGAGTGGGGCGGGTTAGGGCAGGTCGGGTCGATGAGAGGTACCCATGTACGCCCCTCCTACGTGGAGGGCCGGACCCGTCTCAAAACAGGTCAAACAGGTCGGGTAAAATTGGTCAGGTCGAAATTGTCATCCCTACGACCGGCATAATTTTTCGTGCCTACTATTCGAATAGGTTTACTCGTCGACGGAGGAAGAAGCTTGAAGGATAAAAAGAGAGACAAATCGCTATTTTACTGAATTCACCCGGTCTAATATCCATATCCGTTAGTGAGAAGTTCTATCTGTTCTGTTTGTTAGGTCATTAAGTTTGGGTGTTCCGTTCGTCAGTGCTAAGCCAACCAGTTAGCATCAGTTGTAGTGATGGCAATGGTGCGGGCTAGACGGGTATCTTAATACCCATGCTCCGTCCTATGCTATTGCGGGCGGGGTGGTAATACCTATGCTGGTACGGGGCGGGGCGGCTCGCCCCATTCTTGTATGGAAAGAGCACCAACGACGAAAGCACTCTGTTGGGCCGACATTAACACTAGGGATGGCAATTACCCACCCATGGGTAATTATACCCAAACCCAAGTAGACCCATTGATAATGGGTTGGGTATGGGTGAAGTGCATATGGGTTTGGGGGGTTTGTAGATGGGTTTGGGTAAGGTATGAATATTGCTTCCATAATCTAAATGGGTATGGGTTGGATATGGATATCCATTTACTCGAGGGTGTTTTAACTACACATGCAAAAATTGGACCTATTTGTAAAACTTGAAAAATTATCTACCAAAATGTAAGACCAAAAAAATTTAGGTATCAAAATGTAATATTCCATCGATATTTTGAGGACTTATATGCAAAAAAATTAAATTTAGGTACTAAATATGCATATCTATTAAGTTTAGGTACCAAACTGTAATGTGTATTTGGGCATGGGTACAAACCCAAATCCATTTGTTAAAAATCCAACATAACCCAAAGTAAATGGGTATGAGTACAAACCCATCAAACTCTACCCATATCCATCTATTTGGATTTCATACCCAACCCAATTGGGTTGGATAGTTAAAAACCCATGGGTATGGGCAAAATTGCCATCCCTAATTAACACTGAGAGACGAAATTTAAAGGAGTGATTGAGATTAGATACCGAGTATTCCTATGCGTACACGATGGATACTGGGCGTTGTGCGTATTGAATTGAAAAAACATATGCAAATTTTACTTTTTTCTTTACAACGAATGGGAAAACACTTTATGAATGAAAAATAGTGATAATAGAATGAGTAATTGAGTCTAACTAATTGAAAGATCAAGTCTAACTAGTTGAATAATCAAATGGAAGAAATACGAATAGATAGGGTAAGCAATTGAGATAAAATGGCCAAGAACAGGGCGGGGCGTATCAGAAGTAGATACCTATGCCCCGACCCACGCTATTGCAGATCAGGTAATACACATCCCATCGCTAGATCGGGTCGGGTAATATCCAACGAGGCAGGTTCAAATTGTCATCCCTAATCGATGTCGTCTTTCCCTTTTCCAAGCCGCTTCTTCAGTTCGGTTCAATCAATCACAATGACAATTCGGTCCGTTTTGACTTCAGTTTAGTGAGCCGGTGACCGACCTCTAGTTGGGTTGGGTTCAAGATTGTCAACCCGCGGGTCGCACTCGCCGGGTCGACCGCTACAAGGTACCGGGTTGGAGGTCAAATTGTGTCATTTTTTTCTTTGGTTTGCGAAATGCGCCTATTTTCCGATTTTGCTTTTCGCATAACTCAATCTTTTGAATCCTGAGTTGAAATTTCAATATTGATGTTATATAAGTGCGTGTGAATTTCACTATATATTAGATCTAAGTATGACATGTTATTTTGCTGGAATATTATATGTTATAACTCACATGTTAGATGAGATTTGACATAATTTATCAGGATAAGTACAATATAATGACTCTTTCCATATTTCCGGGCTAAATCGGACTAAACCAGGTGACCCATTAACCCTTGACCCACTAGCTCGACTGGATTCGGGTTAGCCCGCGGGTTGACAACCTTGGTTCGGTTCTACACAAATTACTATTTGTGATTAGAGTGGTTCTTGTCATTAGTCTCCTCTGTACTTGCCTTCAATAAATAAAATAAAATGAGTGCTTGTTACGTACGGCTTTATCGATATGTGACTTTCCCCTTAAAGGCTTAAAACACTGATGGGATCAAAAAATTTCTTTCCATCCAAGAGGACTGAATCGAACATAGCTTTGCTTTTGTCACCGAATCTTATGTAAGCCTATAAATCCAAGTAACATAATTAACCACCATAATGAAGGACCAAGTCACAGATCGATAGAGCCGTACGTAACTAAGAAACGTAATGCAATTCAATCATAAAAGAACCGTCAATTTCAGTATCATATATCATTGTTATTACAACCATAACGACGATGAAGCAGAAGCTGCCTATGATCTTACTAGCGGCCGTCGTTTTCGCGACGGTGATAGAAAGCGTTACTGCAATATTAGACGCCGTGACGATCGGTGTTACCAACCAGCTGAGCAGCAGCAACGGCGGCGGGGCGGTAGTACTGATAGTGCACTGCCAATCTGGAGACAACGATCTCGGCGGCCAAGAAACCGACGTCGGTTCGAGATACACGTGGCACTTCGTGACGAATCTCTTTGGAGGGACGTATTTCTGGTGCGACCTGGATTTGGGGGATCGTCGTCTTTCTTTCACGGCGTTTGATCAGGAGAAGAGGGGTCGGTTCGCTTCGGAGTTTTATGTGGGCGACGGTGGCGTTTATAAGGAGTTTGGATGTGGAGGGAATCCGATTGTTGCGTGGAGGCCGAAAGGTTAGCATCCCAAGTTATCGGAAATTTATGAATCTCCCGACGTGACTCTCAATTTGTTAAGCACACAGTATTCGATCGAGCCTGTGAAAACTTGGATTTGCTATGCTCGTGACTTTTGTTTAAGAGAGAGCGTGTGAGTATGTAGTAAAAGATTTTCATTATGAATGTTTCCCAACAACTGGAGTTATTTGGGATCTACTGGTTCTCGACATATTGATGTATTGTTCTTCTATACATGCACTAAAAGCTTGACTTTTGTTGTGAAGACGAGATAGTCGTCGAAGGTGAAACCACGGTCATATGTATGATTAAGGACGACTGATTCGTCACAATAAACTTCACATGTTGGAGGAAGTGTCACGAGAGCCAATATCATTCATATTACTTATATAGGTAATATCAGGATCATCAAAATTCGATACAATCCTTTGCATTCTGTCAAAGCCTTTCGACGCTTTGAAAAAAAAAATATTTTTAATAACTCAAATTATTTAAAGAAATATAAAAAAAACAATTATATAACTTATTCCCTTATGATTTGAAGTCCAATACGTTCCAAGTGTGGCGATGGAAGCCATAAGGTCAAGGATGGTGTGAGTTACCTTTGCGATAGTGATCAAGATCTCATGATTTGAGGCGTCCTCAATGATCGTGTATTGGATAATGCGGAAAGTTTATAAATTAACAATCGGTCTCGTCGCTATTCAAATGGATCAATCTCAATATGATTGATGCATAAATTAAGAAAAAATTGTGGCATCATTTCTATATGACAAATACATATACATTTTGTTTCACACTCCTCGACACTTGCCTCCACCACTAAAGTCGACAATCAAGATAACGAGGAAGGAAAAGTCAAATCAATATCCAAACCCATTTCGCTTCACCCAAAGAGTTGGCAACTAAAGCAGTAAGCTAGAAATTAACACTACAAGAAAACTCACATATAGTGGCTAATGGTTGAGGCAAATATTGTATTTGTCGCTAAAAGAATATAACAAACAACACATATAAAATTGGCCTCAATAGACACCATTATCTGCCTCTAAAAGTATTACATATACAACAATTTTATAATTTGTCTCAATAGGCTCAATTATGTACCTCTAAAAGTATTAGATATACTATACATACATAATTTGTCTCAATATGCACAATTACGTGCTTCTAAAAGTATTAGATATATTACACATCATAATTTGCCTCTAAGTGCAATTAAATTTTGCGACTCCAAAAGCTTTATAACGACTCATATACTTTTGCCACAATAGATGTTTAATATTTGTCGCTATAACTATTTTGCTTTTAAATACTCATATTTAGTTTAAAATATAAAAAATGCTTTAGTTAGGTTCATTTAGGGATGGGTAATGGGTGGGTTAGGTTGGTTTTTGGGCAAAATCCTCCCACCCATTGTTATGGTGAGTGATGAAAAAAATTACCCACACCCACTCATTTGTATCGTTGTGGGTGGGTTGGGTATTTTGTTGATAGTAATCATATTTTAAAATGATCGATTTTATGTTGTAAATCATATAAAATTTATACAAGATAATTGTAATTTAATCGAATCAATCACGATTGAAGTTTTGGTATAAGAAAGAATAGTGTTTTATTGTAAAATATGCATTAACGACTTAACATATCATGTGATTTTGCAGGAAATGACCCACCTACTACTCACCCGCCACCCACCCAAGTTTAATGAGTAACAAAAATGATGACCTACACCCACCCACCATATGCACCCAAACCAAGGTTGTTAAACCTCTATCGAACCCCCCGGTTGGACCCGGTTCAACCCGAGTCGGGCTTCGAAACGGCCTCCAGAAAACCCCCCGGTCTGACCCCTAAACAAGGAGAAGAAGAGAGGCAGAAGAGAGGAAAAGGAACGAACGAAGGGAAATGGTAGGTGGATCATGGAGGTTAGGTAGATTTATTTTGTTGAAAATAAGTTTTTAATAGATATATGTAAGATAAATTTTATTTCACTCATTAAATTTTTAATTACTACTTTATTTGTATATATATTTAGAAAACGTCTAAAACGGCTCAAACCGGCCGGATCCCAATCAGACCATTAAACCTCAAACCCCTTACTTGACCGGCTCAATGACTTAAACCGGTTTGACAACCTTGACCCAAACGTATAATGAGTGAGTTAGGATGAGTCTAGTGGTTGATTCACCCATTGGCCATCCCTAGGTTCATTTATATCAACATACGTATGCCTCTCCAAATTATTTTTTATATAAATGCCTCTCCAAAGTATTTCATGGCTTGTGGAGGCAAATGTTAATTATGGCTATTGGTAATTTCAAAAGTGAAATAGGGGCATAAACTTTGAGCAGTGTGCATGTGCCGCCCTCTAATTTAGTCGGGATTCAAAAAAATTCAAAGAACCTTACTTTACTCTTTATATCCCCTTGGGCCTTGGCACACTCGCTCTAAAAAAGGAGCGCCTCTCCCCAAGAATCCATTTTTCCCTCTTCCTCTTATTTTTCTTCCTCTGTTGCTAAATCTCCCTTCCCAAATTGAATCCTCGTTGCTGCACACCCCTGCATCTCCATCAAAAGAATTATTATTCATTTTTTGCCAGAGAAAAGTGACGACGAGAGAAGCAGCCATCACAGCAGAGAAATGCGAGAATAGAGACCCACTTTATGCCCAGATTTTACTCGACGGGACTCTCCGATTTGCTTAGTTTTGAATCGATGCCCTCTAGATCTACATCTACAGGTTTCTCTCTCTCTCTCTCTTCCTGGACTATGATGTTTTGTTCTATTTGTTGGAGTGCCAGCACTCCGACAATGGCGCAGATATGCAAAAGGGCCTTGCAGGTCTCTCTGAGACGTGGCGAAGAAAAGTCGAGATGGCGGAGACTACCTGGGGGTAACACCGGCATATGAGGCGAGTAGTAAGAGGGCACAGCGGTAGGGGGAGAAGAAAGGCTCGCGGCAGAGAGGTCTCCAATGGAAACCAGAAAAGGTAAAGTAGAGGCTTGCTAGCCCAGATCTGGAGAGAAGCCGCTAAGATTTGTGACGGCGAGCTTCAAAAAACGACGACGGGCAAGGAAAAAACCTAGATCCAGGACAAGATCATTGATGGCACATGTATTAGCCTCAATATTGTTGTATCTTCGATTATCACATATCAAGTTGTAGTTTGTATGTCAGCCAAGAAAGTAACGTGTTTATTACATGTTTGCTTTAATATAAATAAAATTATGATTTACAAATAAATTGTCACATTTTATTTTACATCTAAAAAGACAGGACATTCAATGCCTTTGAATCTAAGAACAATTTTGCAGGCACAAACTTAGGCCTCAAGTAGATGAGCTAAAGGCATATGTATTAGGCTCAATAGGTTAATTTTACGAGTAAATCTATCTGCCTCTAAAGATAATATCACAAGCAAATCTATCTGCCTCTAAGGATATTATTAGAAGCAAAAATTTATGCCTCGAATAGAAAATACATGCAAACAGCTAAAATATAAGCTGCAAAATCTCTAATCAACGACAGATAATATAGGCCACTATATTTGCCTCCGTAGGGCTATAGCTACTGGAGTAAATATTTGCCTCTAAATATATACAAGAGGCAAATAATGGATATATAAAGGCAAATTTCCTTAGTCGCTATATAAGGATTTTCTTGTAGTGTAAGCTAGAAATTAGTACCCAAAAAATTAAAATCGAGACTGCTATCTAGAATACATATACATTTTGTTTCACACTCCTCAACACTAGGGATGACAACAAAACCCGAACCCACGGGTACCCACCCGACCCAACCCGGTCAACGCGGGTAATTTGTGATTTGCTTCAATTTTCTTGAGTTTTCTAGATTGGTGTTGAACAATTTGTATAGTTAATTTGTGATTTGCTTGTATTTTCTAGAATGGTGTTTTATATATGGATAATTTGTATTGAGAGATTGATATTTGACTTTAATTTTGATAGGAACTTGTTATAGTAAATTTTTTACGACAAAAACCCGTGGGTACCCATGAACCCGCGGATACCCAGCGGGTTGGGTTGGATTTGAGTTTTTCAAACCCAGTGGGTTATACCCCGGATTTTTTTCACGGATAAACCCACGAGTTTGAGTTTGGGTTTGGCAAAACCCGACCCAACCCGACCCGACCCATTGCCATCCCTACTCAACACTTGCCTCCACCACTAAAGTCGACAATCAAGATAACGAGGAAGGAAAAATCAAATCAATATCCAAACCCATTTCGCTTCACCCAAAGAGTTGGCAACTAAAGCAGTAAGCTAGAAATTAAGCTAGAAATTAGTACCCAAAAAATTAAAATCGAGAGTGCTATCTAGAAAATGTCAAAAGCTTAAATTTGGTCCCGGCGGGGCTCGAACCCGCGACCTTCGGCTCATAAGACCAACGCTCTAACCAATTGAGCTACGGGACCAAGATAATATTAATAAAGGCTATCATATTACAATTTCTGATTATTTTGTTCCATATTATGTAAGAATTAAGATTGTTTATTGGAGAGCTCAAGGTATGAGGAAATTGAGTCTGATCGATACTTCCAAGTTGAAAGCCTAACAATCATAATATTCCACGTCTTGACCAAGCCTTATTCGCAGGAGTGTCCTGGAATCTTGAAAGGGTTTGTGTTTGTGTCCATACACCGCAAGATAACATCTTCCTCCATTTGATGAATTTGAGGTGAATTGATGATTGCTAATATCCGGCGATGGAGGGACGACACTTCTTTTTTTGTAATGACGAGTGGGGAAGTAAAAAAAACATATAAAAGTTTTGCCCTCTCGTAAAATGAAGAAGAAGAAAAAAGCATGCAAAAGTTTCATCAACCTAGCTACCGCAGCAAAATTCACTTCCATCCACGAATAAAACGTTCTCCTGCGCCGATGCTGTCGGCTTGTACTTTCCCATAAACCCCATCGTCATGGACAACCCAGTAATTGAAATTCAGCTCCTTGTGGTACTCACCTTCATCGTACGTTACGAAAGAGAGACGCTTATCTTCCACCGTCAAATTGCACCGGAAAACCGTCCACCCGAAAGCATCCGGCACGAAACTCCACTCGTAATTGCTGCCGTTCTCGACGAGGCGGCCGCCGAGATCGTCGTCTTCCGATGCACAATGCACGATCAGTATCTTGCTGCTTAGCTTGTTGGTGATCTGGATCGTCCGTTGAATCGACGGGTGCGCCATGAGTATCATAGCCGTCGCTAAAACAACCGCCGGCAGTAACTTTTTGTGGACAGTCATTGTGATGTTGATATACCGTTTCGTGCGGATAATCCTTCTATTAATAGTGTGCGATGAGGACGAGGTTATAATCAATTCTCTGTTACGGCGTAATCGGATGGTTGAGCGGTTAACTATTATACAATACAACTGTTTCGTATGTTTGTTGGATACTGTGGCGTAACCAGAATTTTGTTGATGGTGGGTTTATTTAGAAAAAGATAAATACGATAATTTTTTTTTCTTTTTAAATCATTAGGGATGTAATTTTTATTTTAAAAAACTTGATAATTTAAATATATTTCGAAACTATCAAAAATATCACTCTATATGTCTAGAATAATTATTCATAATTTGGTTAGATATTTGCTTTTGAATGGCGTTCTTTGTCAATATCGTTTAGTATCAATAACTCGAGTTGTTGAGAATTATTTAATTATAAAACTTATACTATTTAATATTTACTAACACTTCCTCGCTAACAAAAATCAACTTATATGTTCTTAAAGTTTTCGCAGATCAGAATATTATGTGCCTAATTAACAAATGGGTTCGTCAAGATTTGAACACATGATCTCTCGATCAACCATTCTCAATTAGACGTGCAATAAATGGCTAAATTTCATTCTCAATTAAATATTATTCTAATTTCCTCTTTTTTCGAGCCACCCGTTACACTCTCCCTAACTCTGATCGAAATAAATTATTTTGGAAAATTAGCTATGATTTGGTGGAAATTTGTTGTAGATATTGAATAAGTACATCTTTAATTGTGAACGGATCATATGCACCATTGTCATTTGTACATAGCTTGTTATAAAAACATTGAACATTCCAAATTTCCAATATACAACTTATAAATCAAACATCATATATTTGAGAGGTCAGCCATTCTCATTTAAATACGTGTTATTTTTCATACCGAATTAACTATAACTCCTAATTTATTATTTTTCCTCCTGAGCCAGGGTGGGTCTCGGACCCACCCTCTAACCTTCTCCCTCCGCCACTGGTTGGTTAATCGTTGAATAGAAATGGACATGCTACAACATAAAAGACGTATATTATATACGCTAATTTAGGACCGGATTTATCACTAACTATAAACAATTTTAAATATATATATCATTCATATATTCTCTTATAAATTCAAGTCAATGATTAGCATGGCGGCCCGTAGTGAACCACATATAGTCGACAAGGAGAATGGGAAATGAGAAAAACATAAAGCATAAATAAAATTAGTAATTCACGTTCGATGGTCTCAGTTTACATTGAAAATTTCCCCCTTAATTTTTTGGTGGTTGATACTTAAGTTAACCTGTCGACCAGTCAGATCGGGGATGTTCATGACCTGATTTCATGTAATATCGTTAAAATCATCAGGTCCATTGCTATCTGTCCAAATAAATAAACTGAACCGCTATCATAATTAGTTTGTTTGTCCTACAACTCACCCAATCGCTGATAATTCAATTCTTATAACAATACTAATATAATCGGTCTCTTGTACATTAAATAAAAGAGGTTTAGTTCCCTCTGCAGCTTAGGTTTGACTGGCCTTTTCGTCGTCTTTGCAAGAGTTCTGTCGCCGTTAGAAGGGAAACCGATCGGCGAGACCCTCTTCGCCACCTTTGTTCTTTGGGGGATGTAAGTGGGAAGATTCACCAATACACAAAACTCTGTTGAATATTAATTAAATAACCATTTTTGCCGCACAGTAGAGATGCCCAATCACACTCCTAGTTGAACAAAACTTCCAAGAGTAGTCCAAGGTTAGTACCATCCAAAAGTTTTTTTTTTTATAACCCAGGGAATCTCAGCCCCACGTGACGCTTGAGTGACAGCGTGGCCTACTAAATTACAGGGGTACCTGCATACTAATCGGGACTTTATGCTACTAACATCGGGGAGGCTTCGCCTCCGATACCAAGGGTGCCGCCGGGAATGCTCAAGTTGCGCTCAGGTCCATTGCTAGTCAGTAAAGAGGATTCCTTGAGAAGAGATTGAGCAGAACCAGTAGTGAAAATGAGAAAATCATCTGCAAAACACAGATGATTCAGCCCCACCCTGCTGCACTGAGGATGTAACAGAAGATAACCTGAACTCGCAACTTTCTTAAGAAGACCAGATAGTCCCTCCATTGCAATGCAGAATAGGTAAGGGGACAGAGGGTCCCCTTGCCTAACACCTTTCTTGGCTTTAAAGAAACCACAAAGTCCATCATTTATGCTAATACTGAAATGAGTTGTTGACAAGCAAACCCTGATCCATTTCACAAACATTTCAGGAAATCCCATGAAGCCCATCACCTTGAAAAGGTATTCCTAGTGGACTGAGTCAAATGCCTACTTTAAATCCACTTTAATGGCACACCTAGTCGACATGTGTTTCCCCTGGTAACCACTCACAAGCTCCTGTGAAAGGAGAATGTTGTCTATAATTCCTCTCCCAGTGATGAAAGCAGTTTGATTCAAGCTTATAATGTGAGGCATAGCCAGTCATAACCTATTTGCAAGTAACTTCGAGACACACTGGTACAATATATTCACACAGGAGATGGGTCTGAAGTCCTTTAACCTCTCTGCATTAGGAACCTTTGGCACTAGAAAAATGTAGTAGCATTAATATCACTTATCATCCTGCAAGAAGAGAAGAAGTCAAGTACCCAGCTATGACATCTCTGCCAATAATGTGCCAGGTATGCTTGAAGAAGCCTGCAGAAAATCCATCAGGACCACGGGCTTTTTGACTATTAAGATCAAAGATCACCTTCCTTACATCTTCTACACTAATTTCCAGACATAGTAACTCAGCAGTCTCCTCTAAAATTTGATTATTTATTAAGGACCTCAAAGCATATCATCAATCTGAACCTCGTCATTGACCACTCCAAACATCTTCTCATAATAAGTCACTGCCTCCTCTGAAATCTGATCAATCTCCAAAAGTTTCTCTCCTACATCATTCACCAATATCCTAATAGTCTTCTTTGAATTTCGAATTCTCACAGATTGATGGAAGAAACCAGTCCCTTTATCATCCTTAGCTAACCAGTCCACTCTTGACTTTTGCCGGAAGAAACTTTCTTCCATTTTCCTCAACTCATCATACTTAACTTGCATATCATTCATTGCTGCAAATGTTGATTCATCGGGATTAGTAAAAGCCTCAGTTTGGAGTGTCATTAACTGTTGCTCCGCCAGTCTAACCTGATCATTGATATTATTAAAAAATGGTCTCGATTGAGCTTCTTCAGGGCTTGCTTCACTGCTCTCAGTTTACAGTGAATGATATACCATGGACAACCCTCAACAGGAGTGGCCCACGCCTCTTCCACAAATTTCATAAAATCTGGATGCGCTTCCTAGAACTCAAAGTACTTAAAAGCTTTAGGAATTGACTGCAGAGCAGGAACTGTTTCAACTAGGATACCACAGTGATCTGTGAAGGGTGCCAATACTGACTCCATCCTACAGTTTGGAAACTACTCAATCTATTCCTCATTAACAACTATCATGTCTAATCTTTTTGCAATTGGATTATTCTGTTCATTATTCACCCATATAAATCAAGGCCCCGTTGTTTGATAATCTAGCAACTCAGAATCATTAAGCCAAGTCCCAAAATCTGTCATACTAGAAATCTTCATTCTCAGATTAGAAGTCTCCATACTCCATAGGATGTACCACTACATTAAAATCTCTCCCAACAATCCATGGCATGTTCTTTACTGTATATCTACTGATCTCCATATAAGTGTTCATTCTTTCAGTTTCCTCATTAGAGACATACACAACAGTTAAGAATACATGAATCCGATCTGATCCAACAACCATAGCATGAGTTAAGTTTTTGCGCTGCTTTAGAACCCGCAATGTGATATCTGATTTCCAAAAGAGTCATAAATCACATCACCTAAAATCGCAATGGAATGAAGAAGGTGATACCTGCAAGACACTTGTGGGGCTACCCAGCGGAGTGCGCTTTGCCCTACCCCCATTTATAACATGCTAGCAATCGTCCTCAGTAGGCAGAATTGGTGAAGCACTATTTAAAAAATGAATTCCAAAAATACCACCCACCCCAAAAAATTCCAAAAATACCACCATTTTTCAAAAACCGCCACTCTATCCTGCGGTTTGCACGAAAACCGCGGGGCGGGGGCGCGATTTTCTATGCAAACCGCTGGGCTAAGGGGCGGCGGTTTTGGGCCAAACCGCCACCCCACCCAGCGGTTTGGTCCAAAAAAATTTTTTTCGATCAACTCCTAACTTCGGCCGAAACTTCAAAAAAACGTAATTTTGCACTCGGATATTCGATCGTAGCGATTTTTTTTTTCATTTCGCATAACTATTCTACCTTCCAGAATCGTTAGTACCAACCAGAATCGTTGCAGAGCCACCTGAATTCCCCTCCTCTTCATCCTGCACATAGGCCACTACCACTGTTTGCCCTTATCAATGAGACTTTGTGTATTCAACTGCTTCCCCACTTGTACTACCTTCCCCTTTCGTCGTCATACCTGCTTCATTGGTTTGCCTCGCAATCACAAGTAGGGTTGGGAAACGGTGCGGTCTAGTCCAGACCTGACCATCTATACGGTCTATGATCCAGACCGAAAGGCTAAAGTATAGACCATAGATCAGACCATAGACTATACGGTTCGGTACAGACCACGCCTGTGCGGTCTGGTTCGGTCTGGTCTGGTCCAGATAGACCACACTCAACGAAAAATGAATAATTTGTTTAGTCAAACACAAAAAAAATTGAACCAATAACCAGGAAAAATAATTGTTATTTGCTTTAAATCATTAATCCTAACATGCATGAATAATTTTGATACTCTAAATCTTAGTACATACCAAAGATACAAAGTAAAAGCATCCCAACTTGCACCATAACGTCATAAACATTAACATAATGACATATGGAGACACGATTATCTCTACTCTCTAGTTAAATGTGGTTGTGAATTAAGGAGGGACGAGATTCACAAAACTAAGGTTGAGACTTGAGTGTCGTTGTGGGAGTTGGGAGAGTGGTCGAATGGGCTGTTAACACGTATTTACAAGTCAGTTGGGTCCACGGTTTGGTCCGGTACACCGCGGTCTAGACCAGACCAGACCAAGAGATCAAAACATAAAATAGTACAGACCATGGACCAGACCAGACCAAACCATACTTAACGGTCTACGATCCGGACCAAACTGTGCGGTACGATTTGGACCACGGTTTTTCTAACGGTCTGGTCTATTTTCCCAGCCCTAATCACAAGGACCAAATAACACACACTTGGTCTAATTAGAGGCACATACTATGTGCCTCTAATTAGTAATTATTTGCCGCTAATTTTACCGTTACATAATTATACATTTTATCTCTAGAGGCAGACTAACCGCCTCTAATTTTTTTTTTTTACAACAAATGTATGTTATGCTAATTTTAGTTTTTAGAGTCGATTACCACAACGTAACTAATTATATATGCTAACATTTTTTATAAATTTATCTATATGAGAATTTCTTTCACTAGCAGTACACTAATATATAGTCTGGTATAATTTTCACAAAAAAATAAAATACAGCCAACAAAATTAGTGAAACTTCTACTTAATAGATATGTACCCCATCCCAATTGTTGTTGCTGCGTAGGTAGAGTAATGTCAATCCTGTGCAGACTTGAAGGTTTTTGGTAGTTTACTAGGAAGGTCACATCAACGCCATTCATGTCCTCCAGAGCAAGTCTCTGACAATCAATGTCACTTAGCACGACTTCAATTGGCACCTTTGGTTTTGGTCTGTTCTTTATTCTATATCACTTTCTACGACTTCAATAACTTCGCATTGACATGACTCTGAAAATCGATGTAGATAGATGTAGATACAGATATTTTGTTTCACACTCCTCGACACTTGCCTCCACCACTGAAGTCGACAATCAAGATAATCAAGATAACGAGTAAGCTAGAAACTAATAGTACCCAAAATGATTAAAATCGAGACTGCTATATAGAAAACTTCAAGAGATCATTAAATTTGTTCTTGGCAGGGCTCGAACTCGTGACCTACAACTCATAAGAGCAACGCTCTAACCAACTAAGCTACGGGACCAAGATAATATTTACTATAGCCTATCATCTTACAATTTCTTATTATTTTGTTCCATATATGTAAGAATTAAAATTGTATATTGGAGAGGTCAAAGGTATAATGAATTTGAGTCGTCTGATCGAGACCTCCAAGTTGAAAACCAACAATCGTACTACTTCACGTCTTGACCAAGCCTTATTCGCAGGAGTGTCCTGGAAAATCTTAAAAGGGTTTTGTGTTTGTGTCCATGCACCACAAGATATATATCTTCCTCCATTTGATGAATTTGAGGTGATGGAAGGACGACCATTCATTTTCATAATTTATCAGGCGTTCATGAGAGTCGGAACTTACAGATCTGTCACCAATTTTCCCCTCATAAAATGAAGAAGAATAAAGTAGCATACAAAAGTTTTTTGTTTTTTTTTGTTTTTTTACCAGTAAGAACTTCCTTTTATTCCAACCCCAAAACAGAGAAGCAAGAAACATTACAAGATGTATGCAATGATGCATACAAAAGTTTCATCAACCTGCGGGCATCCAAAATTCACTTCCATCCACCAATAAAACGTTCGCCGATGCCGATGCTGTCGGTCCCGTAAACCCCGTCATCATACACAACCCAGTAATTGAAATTAAGTTCCTTGTGATACTTAGCTTTATCGAACGTCACTAAAGAGAGACGCTTATCTTCCACCGTCAAATTGCACCGGAACACGCTCCACCCGAAAGTATCCGGCACGAAACTCCACTCGTAGTTGGCGTCGATCTCGACGGTTCGACCGCCGAGATCGACGTGTTGACATCCACAATGCACGATCAGTATCTTGCTGCTCAACTTGTTGGTAATTTGGATCGTCTTCTGGGTCGACGGATGCGCCATGACGATCAATGCCGTCGCTAAAACAACCGCCGGCAGTAAGTTTTTGTGGACAGCTGCCATTGTGATGTTGTTTGATACCGTTTCGTGCGAATGATCCTATCTATTAATAGTGCGATGAGGATGAGTTATAATTAATTCTCTGTTTCATTATCGGATCGGATGCTAAACACAAAATGTATGCGCGCGGTTTATGGTTCAACGGTTAATTATTATAGAACCGTTCGTTGGTTAATATATCGTTGAATATAAACGGCCATGGACATAACATAAAAGATGTATATTCTTTTATTAAATTCATATCATTTATCACTAAAAAATTCTAAGAAATCATTCAAAATTACATCACAGAAGAAATCATATATTCTTTTATTAAATTCAAATCAATAATTAGCATGGTGGCCCATAATGGACCACATAAAATTAGTAATTCATATTCGATGGTCTCAGTTTACGTTGAATTTTTTTCCCCTTAATTTTTTTAAGGTTAATACTTAAATTAACCAGTCGACCAGCCAAATCTGGGATGTTCACCTGATTTTATGTAAAATCATTAAAATCGTCAGCTCCATTGCGAGTCGTACAAATAAATGAACTGAACCTCTATTATAATTGTTTGTTTGAGCTACTAATCGAATCGCTGATCAATACAATTCTTATACCAATAGTAATATAATCTGTCTCTTGTACATTAAATAAAAGAGGGTTAGCTCCCTCTGCAACTTTGGTTTGACTGGCCTTTTCGTCGTCTTTGGAGGTTTGACCGGCCAAATCACACTCCTAGTTGAACAAAACTTCCAACAGTCCAAGAGGTTATTACCATCCAAAAGTTGGAAATAACGTTGATAGACAATTTTGAATGGAAAGGCCGAAAGGGATAGGGGTACAAAACACACCATTACAAAATTGAGCACTTATACTATGTCGTATAGTATTGATATTTTAATGTACAATTTAAAGTTGTATCATAATATTAAATGTATAAGTTTAGGTTGTACCATAAAGCAATTTGTACCATTATGTTATGGTACAACTTTTTAACGTGAAGTTGTACCATCACATAAAGATACAAGTTCAAGTTGTACCATAAAAGATTTTGTACAAAAAGTATATGTACAATTTTAAGTTGTACCATAACGTAAATGTACAATTATAAGTTGTACCATAAAGACAAAACCTTATAGCACCAATATTACATAGCATTGTAAAATTTCTCCGCAAAATTATATCTATAATTGTCTTTTTTGAATCGCATCTAAGATTCAGATTTATTTATTAAAAAAAAAGTTGGAGGGGGGATTTGTAATATTACTACCTCCTGTCCTTTTTTTAGTATGAGAGCATCTTCATCATATATGTTTTTATTTTTCTTTTTTTAGTAGTAACTTTTCAATTAAAAAAATATTTTGGTAGATGTAAAATACCAGTTGGGCTCACAATAGCAATTGCAAACAAAATTTTGGGATGTAGGTGGTTTGCAATTCTTTTAAGAGAATTGCTAAATATGATGATGTGGTTGTAGGGACCACGTTTAGCAATTGCCAGGGATGAAGATGGTTTAACACTTAACACGGAATTTAGCATTTATTTAAACTTGGAATTTAAAAAACTTTGCAGAGAAAGAATGCATTTATTATGATATTCACAATGATATCCACTTTTTTATATTTTGAGCAAAGAAAATATTAACTCTTCAGAACACGTGTAGTTGTAGCATTATCACTGTCATATCTATCATACCATTATGACGTGACAATGGTATGATGACACATCTCTTTCACTTTAACTCATAATTTTTAGAAATTGCATAAAATGAGTGCATTAATATTGAAGATATGTCAATGATATCTATTTTATTATTTTTTTCAAATATCTTATCTCGTACTAGCATCATATAAATGTCATACCAACATCATATCTGAGTTGTAGCATGATAATATAACTATGATGATACTGATATGATGTTATTAAATTATTTTGCCAAATGTAAGACCTCATACCAACATCATATGAATATCATACCAACGCATACTAACATTATATCACTATCATAACAGGATCATACCACTATGATATCATACATTTGCCAATGATAATATCATGATATGACAGTGATAGGATGAGATAAAAAAAAATGCTCAAACAATATGAAAATGAATATCGTATTGTAAACCACCAAAAATATGATTTTTTATGGAAAAATTATTGAAATCCAATGTAAAATGAATGAGGTATATTCCTTTGAATTTTTTTCTGGGAATTGAAAAGTTCTTTAATGACATACCTAGTATTCCGCACCAACATCCAAAAATCTTATCAGCTGCATACCAAGAAAAATCCGATCAGCTCACTTAAATCGCTTATTTCCCTCCCTTTTTCTCTACGATAAGCACCATTAAATCTTACCTTGTTAAATTACAACCAGTAAATTAGGTTTTGTAGAATTACAAAACCCTGAGATTTTGTACGGTAAGCTGCCGTCATTTGGAATTATAGGAAAATAGATGAATCATTAAATATTGGCCGGAGCCTGGAAATGAGTTTTCTCAACAATATAAATTGTTAGTAACATACCATAAACAATTCTAACGATGATTATTTTGATGATTACCATTCCTTGACAAGCTTATTCAATTCCTATAAGGATCCATCTTAGTTTCCTTTTCCAATGCATAAATCACATACATGATAAACAAATTACCATGTCTGGAGAACGTTTTTCACTATTATTTCAATTTGCTTCAAGTTCACAACTCAAAACAATTTGATTACATAAATCAAAGTGTTGCATTTTCCAAAAATTCCAACATGAATTCTTTTGAATTCAATCAAATTGAATTTCCTATAAACTCTTCTCATATTATGAGTTCGTTCACATCCCACACCAAACCGAATTGGTTATAATACATCATCAATTTGGTACTCAATCATTCATCATTCCAAAACCGTGTTGATCACGTGCACGAAAGGACAACAATCAAGCATGCATCAAAGATACACCATCGGTGCATGAACACGATTGCTTTAATTAAAGCACACTTCACCTCCAGCACACTTCACTCCAAATGTGCTTCTTTCGACCCGAAACTCGTTTTTTCGCCTCGATGCCAACGCTAAACCCTGAAATATGACATAAACGTGCAACCTAGCGTGAAATCGGCTTAAAACACGAGAATCAACATCTCAAACGGCTCAAAAATAGGGGTAAAAACATGTGTAATCAATGGTCTATCATGCTGCCTATCGAGTGTTGCGCTATCTTAAGGGCGCACCTGGTCGCGACTTGTGGTTGTCAACGACTGGAGAACTTGTGTTGACAGCCTACTGCGACACTGACTGCGGAGGCTGTCAGCGTACCCGTCGCTCTACTACTGGGTACTTCATTCAGCTGGGAAACAATCCTATTTCTTGGCGTACCAAGAAGCAGCCTGTTGTTGCACTTTCATCAGCTGCAGCTGAGTATATAGCCATGGCTAGTACTGTTAGTGAACTCATCTGGCTTCGCTGGTTACTTAGTGAGTTGGGTGTGACCAACTCATCTCCGACTCCGCTGCATTGTGATAACCAGGCAACTCTCCATATTTCTGCCAATCCAGTATTTCATGAGCGTACGAAGCATGTCGAGATGGACTACTATTTCGTTCGTGAACGAGTGACTTTTGGCGAGATAGCTCCTCAGAAGATATCCTCCCGTGATCAAGTTACTGATATGTTCACCAGAGGGTTAGGTGCGGAGCATCTCAGTTTTCTGACCTCCAAGCTTGGCCTGCATGATATCCATGCCTTCGCTTGAGGGGGCGTGTTACAGAATACGTACTAGTAGCTTTGTTGTGTACGTACCCGACGTGTCCGAGTGTTATTTTATTTTGTTTAAGGACTATGCCAGCTATTTGACATTCCTAGTTACGTGGAGAAAGGGATTGCCAACTAGTATATATTGCTTTGTAAGTTGCTGCCGCAGCACATATTACTGAGAAGAACCCTAATAAAACCTAAGATGAAGACTCCTTGAGTGTGTCTTCCGTGGATTAGTATTGCTCGCTAAAGCAAGGTTATCACGTAAATCGTTGCGTTCGTATTTTTATCTTTGATATTTCTCAATATGTTTTGCCATTCACGAATGCTTGGAAAGAAACCCGCTTATCTTCAACCGCGAGATTGCACCAGAAAAGGGTACTGATTTTGTCGTTTAATTGTGCTGATGTTATGTTACCGATCGGCAACTCTCAGCTGCTTTGTCCTTTGGTTACGTACTCTTGTACGCTAACTCCGTTGCCGCCGGCCACTAGAGATACCAAATGTTTCCCCTTTCGCAATTCATAAGGACGGAAACACAAGGCTACGACTCGATTGGAGATATTCGTTCACCTTGATACTGCCTTCTTATTTTCTGTGTTACGCTCAAATTTTATGTATCACTTTTGTATAAATAATACAAACCTAGGCTTTTATTAATGAAATCAAGTTATAAATTGTCCAGAATTCTGTGGATTTTCCCCCAAATTGCTCTACTTACTAAATTAAATTTCTCAAATACCCAAGAATGTGGTTTATTTTCTGAAATGCCTGACTTCGGCATAAAACACTGGTATTGGAAGTGTTTTACTTAACAAAACGCCTCAAGTGGCAGCTCTTTACTTAAAACGCTGTGATAAGAAGCTTTTTATATAAAACGCTTGCACTAGAAACGTTTCACACACAAAACTCCATAAATTGATGAGTTTTTTCCTGAAACGGTGCGGATTTTCGTTGGAACAAAACGCTATTAGTTGATGCTTTTTTATGCTGCATTTTCTATCAACCGAAACGCGGAGGATTCAGCTCCAAATAAATCTAACGAATATTTTCTGACCTAGTTTATATTCAGCTAGTTAATAAACGGGTCAAGGTCGAATTCAACTCGTTTACTAGAAACTTGTCATATGTTTGCCTCGAGTTCTATTCGAGTTCGACTTGCAATAATTCTGGCCCTGAATCTGGCTCAGGGACAAGTACATACTCATCTTCTGTGTTGTTTGGAGTGTTCTCTTTCTCTATATGATATTGTGCTGATTGGGCTGACCTTATTGGCTTATCTATATGTCTCTGTTGGTTTTCAATTTGGTCTCCTTGGTGGTGTTGAAATTGTTCTTTCTTTAGTTGCTTTCTCGATAAAAATTTCCACCATTATACAAAAAAAAAAAAAAAAAAATCCGCTCTCATAATCTTAATTATAAGACTTGCAAAAATGTCGGAAGTAGCAGTAGCAGTATGCAGACAATATCAAAATGCATAAACTCTAAGGTAGCAAAATTCGCCTCCACGCACTTACCAAAAGCTCAGTAGTGATGCCAACTTGCGCACCATAAAGCCCGTCATCATGGACAACCCAATAACTGTAACGGTTCAACTTACCATGTTCGTACGCTACGAAAGAAAGACGGTTATCTTCCACTGCTAAATGGCACCAGAACAGCTCGAAGCTCCACTCGAACGTGGCCCTAACTGCGACCGCGTGAGCGCCAAGATCGTCGTCTTTGGACGCACAATGCACTATCAGCATCTTGCCGCTTAACCGGTTGGTAACCCGAACGGACCGCTGGATCGATGGACGCGCCATGGCTACTATTGTCGTCGCTAAAACAACCGTCGCTAGTAAGTTTTTGTGCACGGCCATTTTATATGTGTGTATCGTTACCCTGCGAGTAATATTCTGCCAGTGCTCTTATATGGTCAGTAAATGAGGGTTATTTAGTTCCCTCTGCCGCTTCACTTCTTAGGGCCTTCTCGTCCTTTTGCATGCGTTCTGTTGCATTATTTGTGAGATAGCTTGAACGGTTTGTTAGAAGTTTTTATTGTAGATGATATGAATTTGATGATTACTAATAAATAGTGTATTAGATATGTCTTTTATATTACAACTCATAAACGGATCTGTTAATGGCTAACTTACAGTTATGTAACGATTAATCATTGAACCGTAAACTTTCGATCCGATTTTGGAAACATAGTTTCTTATGCATTAAACGGAGGAGGGGTAGTTTCCTCTGCCGCTTTGGTCAAAGGTCCTTAATTAAAGTTTCGTCGTCTTGGCTGTGTAGTGTTGCGGTTTGACGGGAAACCGATCAGCGTGACCCTCTTGCCACTTTGTTCTTTGGGAACGGACGTGGAAAGATTTGCCAATACACAAAACTCTTTTTGAATATCAATTAATTGACCGGCGCACATTAGATAGGGATTCCAAATCACACTCCTAGACTAACCAAACTCAGAGTAGAAAAACGAGAAAAAAAGTCCGAGAAAAACACCATAATTCGCTATCTATCTTATTCAAATTAATTGTTATTTCTAATCAATTTAATCCACCTCTATGCAGTGAAGATATTTTTAATATATTTGCTATACCTGTAGGGAATTACTACGTACGACATACTTGATTCAATCCTATGCCGCGTATCTCATTAAATTAACTCTATTTAGCCTTGCGTATGACGTTCTTTGTAAGACGGCATAACTACTTATTCATAACGCCTGTATTCAGTACAATTTGCTAGAGCATAGCCTGCCCGCATCCCTGGGAGATAACTTTTTCCAGAGATTTACTAAAATTACTGAAGAATTCTCAGATTTCCGAGACTTCCACTAATCAATTATAAGATCTCACAAACTCTTTCAACCGCTCTCCTCGAATGTTTGAAGAGTTAAAAAGAGGCAATGGTTCGTGAATTCGGGATGATTGACATCTGACTTATGTCAATATTGTCTTGGAATTAAAGTATGACAAAGGATGAATGTATTTTCAATTGAGAATTAAAGTGATTTTTTCAAGGATGTTTTGAAGAAGTTTAAATTTGAGAATTGTAATCCGGTGAGCACATCAATTCAATGTGGACTCAAGTTATCCAAGGATGATAAAGGAAAGAAGGTAAACTCAACGGGGGTTTTAAAGTCTCTTGGAAAGTCTAAGATATCTAATATGTATCATACCATATATTTTGTATGCAGTTGGGTTAGTCGGAAGATACATGAAGACAATATTGACGAGATATGAAGATAGAACCTCAAAGATGCGGGATGAGCTGAACTGTTGGAGGGATAAAACAAAAGAAAACAGCTTTCAGTCGAGCAATTCTACATTCTCCTTTCATACTCACAATGTCACACTGTAATGCCGCTAAGATAATATTGCGTTACATAAAAAGTACAAATGACTATGGTCTGTTCTATGTGAAGTCAAAATATTTCAAATTGGTTAAATGCTACGATAGTGATTGGGAAGGAGATTTGGATGATAGCATGAAGCATTACAAGATTTGTATTATTGGAGTTCAAAGAAACAAGCTCTTGTGCCTTTATCTACTTGTAAATCTCTGGACTCCTCTACCGCCGCGGAGCAATCACCACCAGCATTTCATCTTGACAGCAGCGCCGACCCCCACCAGCCACCACCACCTAACGACAAGAAAGGATCAGATTCCACCAAACCCAGACGATGGGATGAGGAAGAGAGGCTTCCGTGCAAACCACCCCAAGCCAATCACTCACAGCCATCTGCCGACAAAATGCACGGAAACGGGCAGAGCGACCGGTCGGCCGGTGAAGGAGCCAGAGAGATGAAATCGTCCGACTTCAAGCTCTCCAGACCGTGTCCTCGGCAAACGCTGCAACTTCGAATTCTCAAGATCTACAATGAAAAACAAGGAGGTAGACAAAGGAAAGACGAGGAGAAAACAAGCCAGATCTATGATAGATCTGGCCTCCATTTTGCATCTTAGTTTGGACCCATCTTCATCTCTGAATCAACAGATCAGAGGTCAATAACTTCAATTGAGCTGGCTGGAGTTGTTTCTGTTACTACAGTCACGTTATTGTTGCTGCTGATTTTGCTATATATGGCTGCAAACTGCAACCTATATATTGTGATAAATATACACCTTAGTTATTATGAAAACTGGTCTAGCAATTCACTTCCAACTTTCTTCCGTACTTGCAACTTTCACCAGGAGCAATCAACGATTGGTCCGCGTGGAAGTAATTAAAACGCAAACCTATCACTAGATCAATCCCTTATTCGCAATCACTATACACCATCGAAAATTCATCAACATACTATGAGTTGGTCAAATTCGCTTCCATGCACGTACAAACAGTTGAAAGGTGCCTACTTGCCCATAAAGCCCATCATCACGGACAAGCCAGTAAGGGTAATTAAATGACTTTTTAAGACCTTGATCATACGCCACGAAAGAAATCTGATCCTGAGAATGCTCTCTGTCCATCCGACTGCCAGCAACCCGCCGGAGGCCGACATGGCCCTTTCGGGTAGACCGCCGGATCCTTCTATAACGACTCCCTCACCGTCGTCACCAACTGTACAGGGCACACCAAAATCGACACCGTTGAGCTATAAATCGGCGTTGGCGGATAGCCCGGTTTCTTCTCCGGCCAAGACACAACAGTGGACCTTCATCGGCGAGCATGACCTGGAAGTCGGGCTCTATAACGGCGAGCCTGAGCTAAAGATCTCGTCCCAGCTCAAAGAACGTCTCTGCTTACCCTGGAAGCGCACGTTGGTAGCGCGGCTCCTGGGGAAATCTGTCTCTTATCAGTATCTCTGCTCGCAGCTCCGTTGGAAATGGAGACCGATTGGCAGTATGGAGATCCTTGACCTGAATAACTCAACCTTCCTGATTAATTTCGGAAACGAGAAGGACTACCTCAACGCTCTCACTGGCGGGCCATGGGTGATCCTCGATCATTATTTGATCGTCCATCAATGGTCGCACACATTCCGAACGTCCGACAAACCCCACCGGTCGGTGGTAGCGTGGGTTCAGCTACCAGAGCTACCGGTTCACTTTTACCATCGGGAAGTGCTATTCGCGCTGGGGAATCTATTGGGAAGAACAATCAAACTCGATTATCACATGGAACATGTGGAAAGAGGGAAATTCGCTTGGATTGCCGTGGAACTTGATATGTCAAAGCCTCTGAAAATGCGGATTCGTCTGGACGGCTTCTGGCAACAAGTGGTTTATGAGAACTTGCCGGAGATATGCTTCGAATGTGGCCGAATCGGACACTCTGATGCCGCATGCCCCAAGATACATAATCCGCCGGGAAATGCTCTTCAGGCATGTACGCCCAATCTGCTACAGTCACCGGAGGAACAGCTGCCGGAGCCGCCGGCGGGGTATGGGCCATGGATGCAAGTGGTGAGGAAATCACGCAATCAGAATAGGAAAGTCTCTGCCAATCAAGGCAACCAAACGGCCAGAAACAGCGACACGGGGAAAACGTCAACCAAACTGGGAAAGAATCCCAAAACCGAGCAAGGCAACGCATCGTCTTCGAAGGACATGAAAGGTAAGGAAGAGCAAAGAGGGGAACCGAAAAAGGGGAAGGTCACAGCGCAGGTGGGAAAAGCTAACGGCAGTGAGGCCACCCTAACTAAGGAAAGTCCAGCCACAAGCCCAACACAAGTTTGGCGGATGGTGGGCCTCAAGTCAAAGGAGGCCTCTGCTACTCCAAGCCCGCAACCCACAGGGAGACCAGGGGCCGACTTGACCATGCTTGATCAGACCGAGTTGGAGCCCACTGACCTGAACCCAGCCCACAAGTCTTCATCAACCGATCTGTTTCTCCCTGTCAAAAATGGCCCTTCAGAGCCAGGAAGTGTTGCGAACCACCAAGTAAGCAAATCCATTCGTGATCACCATAGAGGAAAATCAATGAGTAATTCCCACCCTAAAAAGAGGAAGGAGACCAAGCTCCGGGTAGCGAAGAAGGGTCACGGAACGCGACCGGGAATGGGGAATGGCAAACGCGCTCAAAAGAAGCAGAGCAGTACCACCCATCGTAAAGCCGCCGAGGATCTCCTGGATCAGCTTCTGTCTCGATCGCCTGCTGAGACGTCGGCTACGAACAATAGGGAAAACAATGATCCCATGGCTGAAGCAGCTGATCTTCATCCCACTGGAGCTGATGGAGACCAGGAACCTATTGCGGCTGATTTGGTGGGTTTTGGAACTCCACCGGCAGAGCTGGCTACTTAAGCATAGTCCCTGCTGCCTCTGCAAGTCAGGGAAGTCTGCGTGTCCTTTACCTCTCTGTTTTTACTTATGTTTAGTATATTTAGTTGGAATTGCCGGGGGGCAAAACACCCCAAGTTTTTTGCTACCTTTAAAGAGTATGTTTTCTCTCATAGACCTAATATTGTCTTCATTGTGGAGCCACGGATTAGTGGTAAGGATGCGGAAGATGTTATCAAGTCTATGGGTTTTGATAAACATATTGTTGTGGATGCTATTGGTTTTTCTGGTGGTATTTGGGTGCTTTGGATGGATAATTACCTTGCGATCACTGAATTGGATCGAGACTCACAATTCCTCCATCTTTTGTGCACAGACCAGAACAAAAATTCAGCTCTCTTGACTGCGATCTACGCCAAGCCTAACGACCATGACCGGCAACCCCTATGGGCTAACATTCGAAGACTTGAGCAAACCATTGATAGGCCTTGGCTTCTTGCGGGAGATTTCAATTCCATCACCTGCCCGTCTGAACGCAAAGGTGGCGCTGCGTACAATCCGAGCAAAACAGCTAGCTTCAATGCGTGTATTCGTGATTGTGGGCTTCTAGATGTTGGATTCACTGGACCTAAGTTCACGTGGAGTAATGGGAGGCTCTCCCAACGCCTTGACAGAGCCTTATGCAACCAGGAGTGGATCAGGCAATTCCCTGATACCGTGTCAACAAATCTGCCAAGGCTCCGCTCGGACCACAAACCAATCCTTATCTGCAGTAACAATGACCATATCCCTCCCAGGCAGGTAAGACCTTTCCGGTTTCTTGTACCTTGGTTAGCCCATAAGGATTTTCCCTCTACACTTGATGCCTCATGGAGCCGAGGAAGGGACTGTTTGCTGTCTTTGCAGGATCTCCAAGCACACCTTATACGTTGGAACAAGGAGGTGTTCGGGAATATATTCTGGAGGAAAGCCAAACTAGCAAAGCAACTTACCCGCCTGGAGATTCAGAACGAGACGGCAGCGAGTGACGCATCCCTAAGACGTGAAGGGCAGATTCGGGAGGAACTTGAGCAAACTCTATGGCAGGAAGAGCTCTTGTGGCTTCAAAAGGCGAGGACCAATCAGATTGTGAATGGGGACAAGAATACTCGATACTTCCACACGGTGGCTCTCACAAGGCGCCGGAAGAATAGGATAACCAAGTTACAGCGAGAGGATGGGACATGGATCGAGGATCCGGAGACGCTGAAACTTATGGACAGAGAGTTCTATGTCCGCCTTTACTCAGATGACAGCACGGGGCAACAAGACATCCCAGCTCTTTTCAATGCTCTGACCGGGCCTCTGATGACTCATCTTGCAGCCATCCCACTTCCAGAGGAGACGCACCATATAATCAAGGAAATGGGAGGGCTAAAGGCGCCAGGGAAGGATGGCTTTCATGCTACCTTCTACCAAAAATGTTGGGACAAGGTGGGAGCCGATTTACATGATCACATTGTTGCTTGTTTCAGGAACCCGGAGCGAATCAGGAGTTGCAATGATACACTCCTGGTGTTGCTTCCCAAGGTGGACTTCCCGAAACAAGTAGCCCAGTTTAGGCCCATTGGGCTCTGTAATGTGAGCTACAAGGTCATGGCTAAGTGTCTGGCGAACCGACTCAAGAAGTTTATGCCCCAGCTTATCAACCCGAGCCAGTCAAGCTTTGTCCCAAAGAGACATATCACTGATAACATCATCATCTTGCAGGAAGTGGTTCACACTATGTCTCTCAGGAAGGGGGTCAAAGGTCAAATGATTCTTAAAATTGACCTGGCTAAAGCCTATGACAGGATTAATTGGAAGTTCCTAGAATCAACCTTGCAGGCGGCCGGTCTCCCTAATGATTTCGTCAAATTGGTTATGGCTTGTGTGACGACTGTTCACTTCCAGGTGCTTTGGAATGGTGGTTGTACTGAACCCTTCCAACCTACTAGGGGTCTTCGGCAGGGATGTCCTCTTTCTCCTTATCTCTTTACTTTATGTATTGAAAGATTAAATCACTGCATCAAGGATTCAGTTGATAGGAAAGCTTGGAGACCTATTACTCTATCCAAGGATGGCCCTGCACTGACTCACCTATTTTTTGCAGATGATTTGGTCTTATTTGCGGAGGCGGATCTAAAGCAAGGAGAAGAAGTCCTAACCTGCCTCAACCGGTTTTGTGAGGCCTCGGGGGAACAAGTTAGCAAAGACAAGTCTTGTGTCTTCTTCTCGAAAAACACTATGGAGAGTTTGAAGAAACGTATAAGCGACATGTTGGGAATCAAGCTAACCAACAACTTAGGGCGCTACTTGGGTGTTCCGGTCATCCACGGCAGAGTCTCCAAAGACACCTACAAGTTCATTTTGGAGAAGATTGATCAGCGACTCTCGGGTTGGAAGACGAGGAGTCTCTCTCTGGAAGGGAGAGTTACCCTGGCGACCTCGGTTCTTAATGCTCTCCCGAACTATGTTATGCAAACGGCGGTGCTTCCCGTCTCTGTTTGCAACACCATTGATAGGAAAGTGAGAGCCTTTATCTGGGGAGCAGAAGACGGAGTCTCCAAGACTCATTTGGTCAATTGGGAAACCATATGTAAACTGGCGGCCTGGGCATGCGATCTGCTAGAGCTCTCAACTTATCCTACATTATGAAGCTGGGATGGGCTTTCCTGAACAAGTCGGAGGAGCTCTGGATCCGTGTCCTGCAAGGAAAGTACTTCAAGGTCAACGATGCAGGGGCGTTGGTTATGAAGAAAAGTAACCACTCAAGGCTTTGGAAAGGAATTGTTGATACTTGGCCTATCCTTAAGCAGCGAGTTGTGTGGGACATTCGAGAAGGTCACAATGTCCGATTTTGGATGGATCCTTGGCTTGCCGAGGGAACGATCTTGAGTGAGCATATCATGGGCTATGGCGAGGGAATCAACTGGCATGCCACCGTTGCTGAGATGGTTACCATTGAAGGTGAGTGGAAGTGGGAGGATTTGGGGCCTCACCTGACTCAGAATTTGCTTGCCTTGATTGCAGGTACGGACCCTCCCAGGCCGGGATTGGGCGAAGACATTACTGCGTGGGGTATGGAGCCAGACGGAAAGTTCAAGCTGCGTTCAGCTTATTCCGCGGCTGTGGAATGGCTGAGCGACGAGGAGAGGGAGTCGGAGGAGGCGAACAACCACCACAACTGGAAGCGACTCTGGAAATGGGCGGGCCCGAACCGTATTAAACATTTTTTGTGGTTGGTTTTTCATGACAGGCTAATGACGAATGCCCAGCGAAAGAGGAGGAAACTGACGACGGACGATACATGCCCGATGTGCAGAAACGGACCGGAAACTACCGAACACATTATGCGCCACTGTCCGGGTTCAATACAGGTATGGCATAGGTTGGGTATTCAGGAGACAACTCTAACTTGCGGCCTTGGGTTTGCAGATTGGTTTGATGAACATCTCAAGAGGGATCAGGAAGGGCTTCTGTTTGGAGTGGCAGCTTGGTATCTATGAAAAAGACGCAATGAGAAGGTCTTTCACAACCTGACCCAGGAGGATCAGGTCTTGGCGCAACGCATTGGATGCTGGACGTCAACTATCAGGCAAGCCCAGGAAAATGACACTGCTTCACATAAAGAAGTAACCAGGAAGACCACTCAACAGCTTGCTTGGAGTCCGCCACCACAGGATTGGATGTGTGTCAATACCGACGGTTTAGTGAAGCAGCCAGGATCGGAAGCAGCAGGGGGTGGGATCATCCGGGACTGGATGGGGAAATGTATGGGTGCCTTTGTGGAAAACCTCGGTGTTTGTACGATTACCCGAGCGGAGATTATGGCGGCCATTCGAGGCTTGCAAATGGCGTGGAAGAACGGGTACAGGAAAGTCCTCCTCCAATTGGATTCTACTACTGCCATCAACATTCTTACCTCGCAGGATCAAATAGAGCACAGGTACCATAATCTGGTTCTTCAGTTTCAGGGATTGCTTCAGCAGAACTGGGAAGTCAAAATTTCCCACATTTATAGAGAAGGTAACAAAGTGGCAGATTTTCTAGCTAATAAAGGCCACTTAGCTAGTATAGGTTTCCATGTTTTAGATAGTGCAGACCCGGGTCTGAACTTCTGGATTTTGTATGACGTTTTGGGGATTACCCAAAACCGGTTAATTTAAGTATCAGGCAGGGGCGCCCTTTTAGCGTCCCATTTTCTACCAAAAAAAAAAAAGAAAGACGCTTATCTTCTACCGCTACATTGCACCAGAACAGCGTTGCCCCTCCGACCTCAATCGTATTGAAACTCCACTGTAATGCAACATTAATCTCGACGGCGTGGGCCCCAAGATCGTCGACTTTCGATGCACAATGGACTACCAGTACCTTGCTGCTCAGCTGATTGATGACCTGAACGGTCGGCTTGGTCTGGTGGGTCGAGTGTCGCGCCACGACGACCAATATCATCGTCGCTAAAGCAACCTTCGCGAATGATAACTTTTTGTGGAGCCATTTTGATGTAAGATGTATGCCTTTCCCTTGCGATTGATCTTCTGCCGGTGCTCCTTGTATTAATACTTAATAGTACCGCATTGAGGATGAGTTTGGGATGTTGATGGCTTCTATGAGAACCGAACTAGATTATCGGCTGGATAATAGGGATGGAGTCTCGGTTACCGGTTAATCGATCGGTTAAACCGATAACCGGCTGTTATCCACGAACCGATAATCGATATAACCGAAATTCGATTGGTTATCGGAAGCTGGACGAGATGGTTTTGGTCTTGAAGGCGGTACTGTTAACCGATAACCGAGATAACCGAAACCTATTTTGGTCGGTTGGAGGGGTCGACCTTTCGATTAACTAATAACCGATCGATCGGTTACCGGTTATAACCGAAAGTAACCGACTGCCACCCCTAGCTGGATCAGTAGAATTACTAAACCGGTTATATTAGTGGCTCGGTTCATTTTCTCTTACGATTTGGGATGGACAGAACAGTTTTCAACGGTTTGACATGAAGCGAGCTGATGAACTACTTCGATCTGGCTGGTCCTGTCAGAACAGAAGCGTGCAATCGATATTCCAAAGCAACCCAAACAAACACAAATTTAACGTGGTTCACTAACACAATGTGTGCTAGCTAATCCACGGGCAGGGGAGAACAAATTTCACTGATTTGAGGAGAGTACATGTTACAAACCGAATTCCAAACGAACAAACCAAACAAACTAACCTGACTGACCTTACTACAGACTAGGGTGATGAAGAGTATTTATAGAACTCTTCTCCTAATCCCAAACAGAAAACCAAACACCTTTTCCCAAACATACAAGGAAAAGGCCAAAACAAAACCCAATCCCAAACCCAAACAGAATAGGCCTAAAACACAAAACAAAACCAATCAAATTCAAGTCATATTCTAACAATCTCCACCTTGACTTGAATTCTCTCTCAAATACCAAATGTACCAGATGCAACCAAAGTTGCCAAATGTACCAAACGCAACCAAAGTTGCCAGATGTACCCAGACGCGACACATATCGCCAGACTCAAACGCGATGCAAATCGCCAAACTCAGACGCAATCAGAATTGCCAGACGTACTAACTCCTCCAAATCAGCTGTAACAGAATCTCCCTTTCCTCCAAATGTCCCTAAGGGCGATCAACAAATCAAAACATGCAGCAAGTCCAACCCATGTTGGGACTTGCCATGCAGAACCAGCTTGGTGTTATTTCCGTCCATAACACCAACATCAAATTTACTGCTAACTCCAAGCCTGCATCTCCCAATTACAAACATACTTTTCCCCAAACCCTAACCAACCACCTCAATCTTAACCAATTATTTCAACTCAAACCATCAACCAGCAGCACGATCCGAAAATCCGCAAGGCAGTTTCAAATAACCCAAAGATCAATCGCGGCTCTGATACCACTTGTCATAACTGGGCAGCCCATTAGTACGATATTGTCCGCTTTGGGCCGAGCCCGCACGGTTTTACTCTTGGGTGTCCTCCCCAAAAGGCCTCGTACTAATGAGATTGGTGGACACTAATATACAAGGGTTCTTTCCCTTGTATAACCGATGTGGTACTTGGATTGTCTCATAACAATCCTCCCCTCAAGCCAAGGACCACGAACTTCGTGTCCTCACCTCAGCGATTATCTTGATCCGCCAGATGCCTTCTATCGATGGGCTTCTCGATACAAGGACTTTACCAGACGCAGAACTCTCTTTAATCTGCTTCCCAAATGCGGAACTCTCTTTGATCCGCCAAGCCCAAACGTGGATCTCTCCTGGATCCACCAAACCAGATGCAGATCTCAAACCCCGAGGTCACCGAGCGAGGGTCCACCGAACTGACGTCCACCGTCCCGCACTGAACCAGGCTCTGATACCACTTGTCAGAACAGAAGCGTGCAATCGATATTCCAAAGCAACCCAAACAAACACAAATTTAACGTGGTTCACTAACACAATGTGTGCTAGCTAATCCACGGGCAGGGGAGAACAAATTTCACTGATTTGAGGAGAGTACATGTTACAAACCGAATTCCAAACGAACAAACCAAACAAACTAACCTGACTGACCTTACTACAGACTAGGGTGATGAAGAGTATTTATAGAACTCTTCTCCTAATCCCAAACAGAAAACCAAACACCTTTTTCCCAAACATACAAGGAAAAGGCCAAAACAAAACCCAATCCCAAACCCAAACAGAATAGGCCTAAAACACAAAACAAAACCAATCAAATTCAAGTCATATTCTAACAGGTCCATTGATTCACTATTTTAACAAACGAAAAATAAAAAAAATATAATTTTAATGTAACTAAGACCACCCGACCAGCCGACATGAATTAGTAATTTTATGATTGACCGACTACGGATTGTCACCTAATTACTAACTTGAACTAAAAAATTATAATTTCTTTTGTGAGCTAGAAGTTTTGATGATAGATGATATAATTTAAATTTTTATGCTTAGCGATAAATTAGCGTATTAGATATGACTTTTATGTTATAACGTAAGAAATGATTTTTAAACGGTTAATCAAGTGTTCTACAATAATAGTTAATCGTTGAACCATAAACTACTATTTTTTCGATTCAACGTTGGTTCTGATTTCGAAAACATACCTTCTTATTCATTAGACGAAAGAGAGTTAGTCCCCTCTGCCGCTTTGGTCAAAGGTCCTTAATTTTTCGTCGTCTTCCATTTTTGTTCTTTGGGGACGGACGTGGAAAAGAGTTTCAAATAATACACAAAACTCTTTTGAATATCAATTAATTGACCCCTCTTTGGCGGACATTAGAGATACCTAATCAGACTTCCTATATGAACAATACTTTAGGAGTGTAAGGATTCGTTTGGATTAAGAATTTTGGTGCGGTTTTTTTTGTGTCACAATTTCACGGAATGTGGGATTCGTGTAATTTCTATATTTTGACAACCTGCACAAACATATTGATTAAATTTTTTTGCTCTACTGGAATCCAGATGTTCCTAAGTATTATGCCAGAAAATTGGATAGGTCAGAGACGTATTTGCGTAAAACATGTCGAGTAATAAAGTGAAAATACACTTATTGTTATTTTCAAAGGATATTGTTATGGACTGTTTGGTACCAAATGAATCGAGAATTTATTTAACTCTAAAATGAATTATCATGTCGAATTCATTGTCAAATTAAATATTGTGTTTGATATGTCATATTCAAATCTTTAGAAATAAAATGAATTGCCATGTAGAATTCATTGTCAAATGAATTCATATGTTTGGTATGTCATATGTATAAGTAATGTAATTAATAAAAGAGAATAATCATATCATTCTATTATAATTAGTAAATACTTGTGGAATTCATTTTGAAATTCCATCTCAATTACTCGGAATTGCTATAACTAGTTTCAATTCCATAGAATTGAAAATTTAGAAATGAAAATGAATTCTCTTAAATACCAAACACAAAAATGTTTTATTTCAAAATGAATTCCTCAAAACTTATATAATTCATTTATACCAAACGGTATGTTAGAGTGTGATATAAGAACCATCATAACATTATTCCAAAAACTCGAGTTATTGGGACCAACTGGTTTATGACATGCTATTCGAGTCTGATTTGACCAAGTGATCGTTTGTTCGAATCTCCATGATCCTCAATATTAACAATTGATTAAACCACAAGGTATAGTGGACCTATGCAAATTTCAAGCACACGATCCTCAATATGATCGTCAAGCTCGAAATTGGAGATTTCCTCATCACATTTGGCGATTGGCCACCAACTAATTTGGATTTAGAGGGACAAGAGGTTTGCTGAAGAGAAGAAGGAAGATGTTTGGGAGACGATTGGAGTTCGACTTTTCCATAGGGTTCTGGGTTTTCCCGCGGAGAAGAACGAAGAAGATGGAGGGCAACATTATATATATATTTTTTTTTATTTCTTTGATTGAAAAAATGCCATATGCAATTCCCAACAAGTCATTTGAGCCCAAATCCAACCAACAAATTGTCTGGTTTTTTTTTTTTTTAATGAAAGAACACCCTAGGGCAGTCAAATTTGCCTCCATACAGCAATGAGATCCTCCCCGTAAACCCCAGAATCCCGGACATATATGTATTTTCGATATGTGCTGTCATTCACGAATGCATCGAAAGTAAGACGCTTATCTTCAACCGCGAGATCGCACCAGAAATGGTTATTGAACTTCCGCCTGAAGCCCAAACTGAAGCCGCGCCCGATCTCGAGCAAACGGGCACCGAGATCGAAGCTTTCGGATTGGCAATGCACTATCAGTATTTTGTCCCTCAAGTTGCTGATAACATGAACCGTCAGCTCGTTGGGGAGATTATCGGGCTGATTGGTCGCTAAAGCTGCTACCACCGTCGCTAATAAAACCGCCGCGAATTTTAACTTTTTGTGGATAAACATTGTGGGTGCTATAGTTTTTTTTTTTTTTTTTGGGCAGTTTTTTTTAGAAGTATTTGGCTACTGTTTAATCCTTATTTTATTTATAGTACATTGATGATGGGTCCGGTCGTGATAGGAACCTTCACCATATTGTATTGAATTAAGGAGGGTTGGTGTCCTCTGCCTCTATTCTTACTATTATTTGTCGTTTAATTTTGCTGATGTTCTGTTACCGATCGGCAACTCTCAGCTGTGCTTTGTTCTTTGACGACGGAACAAAACTCTCTTGTATGCGAACCCCATCGCCGCCGGCCACTGGAGATGCCAATTCTCTTGCAGTTTGCACTTCACATACAAAAGCATATATTTGTTAGAGAGTGGTATAAGATCCACGATTGAACCTCTCCCAACAACTCGAGTTATTGGGATCAACTGGTTCATGATATGGTATCAGAGCCTAGAACCGAAAGGTCATGTGTTCGAATCTCCACGAACCCCAATATTAACCGTTATCTTTCAAGCACATGGTATGGTGGGCCTGTGCAAACTTCAAGCCCATGGGTTGGTTTTCGTTTGAGTAGTCGGCAGTGTGTACGTGGTCGATCACACACAACGAACTCAGAAAAGTTTCAAATTCTTGTGGAAAGTCTGAGATATATGATTTGACCGGTATATTTGGCGCACATTAAAGATACCAAATCACACCCCTAGACGAACAAAACTTTAGGAGTCTAAGGAGTCGTTAGGATTAAATATTGTGGTGTGGATTTTTTTGGACAACCTGCACAGTAACACATGGATAGGTAAAAAAAATTACTCTACTGGAATCAATAAAAACAATGCAATGACGATTCCCAGCAACGATATAACCATAAATGTATTTGTTGGTGGCAAATCAATGAAAGGTAATTAACTCCTCGAATTATCATACTGAAGTGATACTCGAAGTATTTAAGATGTCTACCTCACCTCCAAGGCTCCAATTTTCAGTAATCATTTCAATTAGTGTCCATTTCTTATCATCCAGCAAACAAGGAGAAGAATACTTACATAGAGAGGTAGAGAAGAGTGGGAGAACTTGTCTCCTACCTTTGGCAGTAAGATCTGTAGTAACTTATCCTTTTTCTTGTAAATGAAAAATATGGGAGGGATAGGGCCCTCAGCCAATATACTTCTTATTATTTGTAGTGATCATGGGCATTGATTGATTCGGTCCAGAATCGGATATTGAGATAGGACCGGACCAAAAATAAAGGGAAAATGAGGACCAAATTCATATATGGTTAGATTCGGTCCGGTTCAAACTCAGTTTTGATGTAATTTTTTTTTTGGTAAGTTTTGATGTAATTTTTCGCACACTTAAAATAATTAATAAGGTCAAAACCGAATCATATTCAAATTGGTCTAATTCTGTCCAAATATCATTTCGGTATTATTCAGTCCGCTGTGAATCGGATGGTTGCCCCATCATTAATTACTCGCAGCAAGAGTTTAAAAGCCCTTTTATAAAAAACCCGTTTCATAACCTTTTTTCGTGAATAAAGCTGGTCGTTGAACAAAAATATCAATTGGTCACTAAAGATCATCAGCGCCGTCGCAAAAGGAAACTTGGTTGCAGAAGACTCAACTCAAATCAGTACCATCTCAACCTCTTCTTACAACCTTCTTCACTTAATCTATTGAACTATCTCCAGCTAAAGTAAGCGCCTATAAGATGGAGGGGAATAATTACAGAGGAGAAGGAAGTGATCAATCAGTAATTAAGCACCATAAACACTCACAAACCCTTTGGGGACCTAATTAATTGTCCCAATTTGCCTCCATGCGCCCATGAACCGTTCGCCGGGCAGACTTCTGTTTCCGTAGACTCCATCGTCGTAGACCTCCCACGATTCGATGTACGGTTTATCACCATCATCGTTGAACGCCGTGAAAGAAAGACGCTTATCTTCGACCGCGAGATCGCACCAAAATGTCGTCAGACCAAAATAGTCCGGATCGAAATGCCAACTGACCTCTTCGCCGATGGCAATGGCATGGCCACCGAGATTGTCGTCTTTGGATCGACAATGCACTATCATTATCTTGTTGCTCAGCATATTGGTGACATGAATCCTGTCCTGGATTGAGGGGCGTGACATGATTATGATAACCGTCGCCAAAAATATCGTCGCTAGTAGTTTTTTGTGGATGGTCACTGGCCGATTGCCGGTCATTGAAAGATCATTTAAACCTTAGTTTTTCTCGCTTGGTTATGATAATGAGGTTTAGGTACTAATTATTGCCGGTGATCCTTTTATTTATAGTGAAAATTGTGCAATGAAGACGGCTTAGAAGAGGTAATCTTTACTCTTATTTAACTCTATGTATAAAAGATAAGTCCAAAGCTGAAAATAGCTATTATTTTGACCAAGTGTCGAAAGTCGAAACTACCTAGAAAATATGTCAACGTTGATAAGGTTTACAAAATTGTCACTCTCATTTATAGTTTGTTTCTTTGTTCCACAAAATTGTCACTCTCATTTATAGTGTCAAGTACTGTTCGCACCAAAAAAAATAGTGTCAAGTACTGTTACCAATAATTTGAACTAATGGAAGATATTCAATAAGTGGCGGACCCATGAATTTTTCATAGAGGTGTTCTCATTTAAAAAATAAATTGAATCCAAATAAAATAATTAATAAAAATAAAATCATAAATAAGAAAATACCTTGCTCTAACAGGTTAAAAGAGTTCATGATGTGTTTTCATATTCAGAAATAATTGTGGAATACACTTGGTGTCTATAGTGTTAAAAAAATTATCTCTATGTACCCTACTAAACAATCATTCACGAACTTATCGCATATTCGATTTGTAAACTTGTTCTTCATGTAACCCAATACTGAAAGACTCTTTCAACACTTGCCGTACAATCATAAAATCAATACAAATTAAGGGTAGCTTGATATTTGTTTAATTGTTGGGTTTTGAAAATAATTACAGATAGGGAATGCCATTTTAGTATTTTACTATTACAAAGTGTTCAAAATCGAACAACAAATGAGTTATAGTTTAATGGAAATAAAGTTCATTAATAATAATATTCTAGGTTTGAATTACCCAACCTATCACTTATATTACCATATAAAAAATTAAAAAATGACAGTAGGATAATTATTTTTTTCAAATTTCAGGAGTGTCCCTCACTATCAATTATCAATTTTTTGTCCATATGTAAACTACAACCGGAGGTTAAATAATCATTTTCCCCAAATTTAGGGGTGTCCCCCTGGACCCGCCCATGTATTCAACAATTGATTTTATACCACATATAAACACACACTCTTAAACTAAAGCTACTCATATATGCCTTGAAGTATTCGCAGGCATCAAGCATGATATGTATACCAATGGAGGTGATCATCAAGATTCAAACAGAAGATCTTTCAGTTGCATAAGGTTTTAATACAATTTCAAGAACCAATTGATTCCTATAGTAACTCAAATTATTGAAAGATGTTCGATAATAAATTTTATATCACATACTAACACAGATATTAACTATTAAAGAAAATCTTACGCCTATGTGAAGCAGAGACGACAGGACAACAAGTTAGTCTTTGTGAAATCATAGCTGTCTTTGGGCCCAAAATAGAGGAGAATGGAAGGAATGAACTGCAAGCTAATAATGTGAATGAAACAGGTGGCTCAACATGAAAGGTATTTTGGGTTGCCAACAATTGTGGGAAATTAGAAGAAGGTTGTCTTTGGCCATCTCGTTGAGAGAATGAGAAAGAAGAGTTAAAATGTTGCCTGGAGCCGTAGAAGAGATATTGGTCAGTTCTGTATCCAAGACCCAAACAAATTATGTTATCAGTTTGCTATATTCCAGTTGGAGTCGGGCAAGAAATTATAAGGTGGGTTCAGAAGAATGGTTAATAAATGATATATGACATATAATTAATATTTCCTATAGTTCGAGTTATAGTCACCAATTGATTCTTGAGATATCTAAATTATTTCTAATAACTTCACTTTAAAATGTTTTATTTTTTTTAGCACAAAAAACCTAATAATTTTATTTTAACTAGACTTAGAAAAATAAAAGAAGGGGAAAATTGAAATTTTCCCACTTATTTGCCGAAGCCATGTCGTCTGAAGTTGATGGTTTTTTATGAAAATTTCAACGAAAGAATGGTATGTTTGATAATTCTAATCATACCTGGACATGTTTTAAATATAAAAAATTATAGAGAGACATATTTGATAGTAAATAGAGATATGAACATATTATACCTATAATTCTTCTGGACAACTAATAAAGGCAGCGGCGGATCTAGAATAGAATAGAGCACTGAGTCATATTTGAAAAGAGGCGAAAAGTATTAAGGTCGTAATCCAACAAACACTGAAATTAACACCGAAAACCGAAAAATTTACAAAAACTGTGCTAGCTCTGGATCCAGGAAAGGACTGGGCAGTGGCCCGGGGCTGCCCCGTGGATCCGCCGCTACTTAGAGCATGAATCTAAGTGAACGTTTCTTCATTACAACTTAGAAGAAGCAACGTCTCTTACAGGAGACAGGAAAAAAACACACCCAAAAATCAAAGAAGAAGTACCGCGGTGACGAATTCCATGCAAACATGGCTAAAGCTCAAGGACAAGGACGTTCCCCAAATTGCATCCATACATGCAGCAAGGAGACGTGGCCGGCCGCCGCCGTGGTGACCATTTGGTCGCTAAATGGTGAGATGAGTTTTTTTTTATTTATTTTATGTTTTCGTGGTCGTTGGCTCGTTGCCGTTGAGGGGTTGTTTTTTAATAGTGATCGATCGAGCATTCGAGCTGATGATTTGCTTTTTGTTAGGTGACGAGAGTTGTTATCGTTTTTGGCATATGGTGATGCCGTATTGACCCTTCGCACGTCAGAAGCTTTGATTTTGGGGAAGTATATACGTGGAAAAAAAGAGTTGGCGGCGAAGGAAACTGTATCTGACTTAATTTTACGCTTTTTGCCGGCGATGCCGAATCGTTCCCGGCCAAAATGAGAGAACCAAAACCGGCTATTCGGAAGAAATCAGCGGGAGCTAGGTGGAGAGAACGAAGGGACTCTAAAACCTTTTTATTTTATTTTTATACTTAGATCAAAATTTCATTAAGAACAGGCAACCAATGGCATAAATACTATGGCGCTCCTCGGAACAAAACAGTCTGTACAATAATCAGTCAAGTAAAAGAAAACTACCCCAAGCCCCTAGCAATGAAGCAATCCAATAAGCTCTGATCGAGCATACATCGATACTCAATAACCCATTTTGCTTGCGCAACTAGCTGTGCAGGAGAACAAGCACTATTTGACCCATACATTCTAGAACATCGCTCCCTCCAAACCAAACTCAAAACAACACTCCATGACAGCCGATTAAGGCGCGCAGAAGCAGAGTTCCCATCCCAGCGAGTGACACACCAATGTAGTACTTTCGGCCAATCAACTAACAATGGCGGTGCAGCAGACTTCAAAATCTGCACAAGCATATACCTCACAAAAGCACACTCCATAAACAGATGATGCCGAGTGTCCAATCCACCAGGGCACAGCAAGCATAAGCCCAATAGAGGCTTCCCCCAAGAGATAAGACGATCCTGCATTTTCAGTCTGTCCTGGATGATCAACCAAAGGATGAAACCGTGGCGAGGAATAACAACATTGTCCCAAACCAGTTACTTCCAAGGCACAACACTGCTCTTCTGACGAAGCGATTGCCAGACCCTCCTGACAGAGTATGACTCCATAATTTCTCCATCCCATGCCAAGCTCCCCTGTAGCAAGGAGATATAAGGCCGAGCTATCTCTCGACACTTCAAAATCCTCCTCCCTATCAGGAAGACGTAGAGGAAGGCTTAAGATCCCAGACTGACTTGTTCTTGACACGATAGCGATGAATCCAGGCCATCCAAAGGGATCCCTCCTCAGCAAGGACTGCCCAAAAATGACGAAGCACACAGGCCTTATTCCAGACTGCAAACCCACGAATCCCTAAGCCCCCTCTTTCTTAGGCCGAGCAAGAAACTCCCAGGAAACAACAGCCCTTGTCCTCATTGATGACTCAGTTATATCCCACAAATACTTACTGCAGATAAATTCTACTTCCTTAATGACAAACTGAGGAAGAAGAAAGATTCCCATCCAATACTGCAAAACGCTAGTCAGAACAGATGTGATAAGCTGCAATCTCCCAGCAAAACTCAAAGTTCTCGCCCTCCAACTTGAAATCTTAGCTGTGATTTTCTCTATTAAAACACGACAGTCTGCTCGAGATAGTTTTCCAGGAATAAGAGGAACTCCCAAATACCTAACAGGCAAGGTGCCAAGAGGGAACTTCGAATATGATGAGATATATTGCTGCTCAGATTCCGAGACTCCCCCACAAAACAACTGACACTTATCCGGATTGAATTTAAGGCCAGAGACTTTATAGAAAGCATCAAGAACTCGACAAATCCCTTCCACCCTCTTATAGATCCATTTGTGAAAACCAGTAAATCATCAGCAAAACACAGGTGTGTAATTGCCAATGGTTTACACTAGGATGGGGGGGGGGGGGGATTTGGTTCTGTTTAACTGCTAATTTCAACATACCATCCAATACTTCCATGGCAACAGTAAAAAATATGGAGATAGGGGGTCTCCTTGCCTTAACCCCTTTTTCATTTCAAAGAACCCACAAACTTCACCATTCATCACAACACTCACTTTAGGAGCACAAACACAGGCTTTTAACCACTTTATAAACAGTTAAGGTATTCCCATCTGACTAAGAACAGAAAACAAGAATTTCCAGTCCACGGAGTCAAACGCTTTCATAATATCGATTTTCACAACACACCGTGGGGAAACTCTATTCCTATGATAGTCTTTTACTAATTCTGATGCTAATAGGATATTATCACAAATGGATCGACCTCTAATAAAAGCAGACTGAGATGTAGAAAAAAGACATGGTAGAACAGAAGCTAACCTGTTTGCAAAAACCTTCAAAATCCCTTTATAAATCGTGTTACAGTAGGAGATGGGACGGAAATCTTCCCAAAGAAACTTCCTCAACTTCATTGCCAATCAAATCCCAATGCAGTTTAAAGAATTCTGCAGAGAATCCATCTAGGCCTGGAGCCTTATCTCGTCCAAGATTCTTAAATACCTTACAAACTTCCTCCCTAGATATTGGAGCAATTAATGACCTAGCTTCCTCCTGATTAAGAGATTTAAGAGTCAAAGATTCATAAAAGCTAGATGGATGAGTAAACACTGCAGGATCAACCTCTCCAATAAGCTTTTTATAGAACTCAACTGCAACCTGCCCCAACTGCCTAATGTCAGTCACCTTTTGCCCTTGAGCATTTAACAGACGAGTTATCTGCTGGCGGTGAGAATGAAATTTCACAGAGCTGTGGAATGTAGTGTTCATATCACCATCCTGAACCCCCCTTATGCGAGCCTTCTGCTTGTAAAAACCCTCTTCAGCTTTTTGTAAATCCTGACATTCAACAAAAAGTTTCTTCTCTTCCCCCACTAGTGCAGCATCAGGATTAGCCAGTATAGCCAACTGTAAAGCCTCTAGCCTACTCTCACAAGCTCGAGTTTGAACAGAAATATCAGCATAAACTTTCTTGTTCAGTTTAGTAAGAGCCTGACGAACCCTCTGCAGCTTACCATAGAATACAAAATATGGCCAGCCAGTCACCTTATGTCTCCAAGCATCTGATACTAACTCATTATAACCAGGATGACTAGTCCAAAACTTGAAATACTTAAAAGGTTTGGGAAAGCTCTTCACCTGAGGGATTACTGTCAGTATTAGACCACTGTGATTTGAGACTCCTGGTAGATAAGTAATAGCAGAACTAGCTTTAAACACAGACAACCAGGCTTCATTAATAAGAATTCTATCCAATCTCCTCGCAATGGGATTCTCCTCCTGTTTGTTCCACCAAGTAAACCAAGTCCCCATAACCTTATGATCAAACACATTCATATCAGCAATCCAGGACTAAAAGAAATCATACTCGAGTTCATAACCAAAATATTAGAAGTCTCCCCCGGGTCAGACTCACTTCTACTGTCACCCTAGGAATTGGCCAAGTGAAACCACTTCCTAAAGCGTAGTATAGCGGGTTTAGGTTTAATTATCAACCCGGGTCCTAGATTTGATGACTACTCAGTGAATTCTTGTTATCTAGCAATGAAACTGGAATGCAAGTCTAAACTACCAAACAAACGATTGTATTCAAGTTAAGAGAGGTCACCCAGATATGGTTCCCCCTAGACTGCAGTTAAGCCGGATTGTAATTACCAAGTTCAGTTTCTATGATAGTTATACTGCGGAAGGTTCTTTAACAGTCTGAAGTCTCGACTTAAGGTCTTCAGACCCTCTCAATCTGAGTCTCTAGCGGGCGACTAACCTCCACCGGAGTAAACAGATTGAGGCCTTAACAAACAAAACCTCCACTACCGGAGTAAATCCGGTACAGAATAGTGAGTTGGCTCCTCGACTAAAGTCACCAACTCCCTACCTTCAATCAAGGATGCTCTATCAACCTAGGCAGATATTCTCATTCTAGGTTAAAGCAGAAACAACAGGAATTTGATCAGGATTCAAGTCATTCAATCATTCAAACCTCAATCGAATATAATCAATCATAGAATCAGTACTTGGGTTCATACAATCAAAGCCTAACATACAAATCTAGGGTTCTCCATACCCAAATGAATGGGAGAACTACTCCATGGAGAAAAAAGCAAAAGCAGAATCAGACGCGGAATTCATACTGTGAAGGATGGATTCCTGCTTCTGGACGTTGATCGGCACTTCTCCAAGCTCAAACTGGCCTCCAATGGTGTTAAAGATCAATCTAGGGCACTTGGAGACTCTTGTTCGTCGCTTTCTCTCTCTAGGAATCGTTCTCTCTCTCAAAAACTCGAATCCACTCGACTTGTGGCTGAAAATCTGCTTAAAAGCAGAAAATCCCGACTCACACGGCCAGGGTGGCACGGCCGTGTGGCTTACCCAGTTGCCCGTGTGAGTCAAAACGCTGCGTTCCAATTAGTTCGATCTTCAGGCTTCTCACACGGCCAGGGTCGCACGTGAGATTTCCATCTGCCCGTGTTTGCTCTCGGCGAAACTCGCACGGCCAAAGTGGTCACTTGCACGGCCGTGTGAGTTGTGGGTGTGCCCGTGTGACCTCCTTTGTGACTTGTCTCGCGCCCGATCTTCGCTCAATCGACCCCGAACTCGCTCCTAAACCTTCATTCACTTGCCAGGACCTGAAATATCACAAACAAGCACAACCTAGCATGAAATCGGTCTAAAACACGAGAAACCACATCTCGAACGGTGTAAGAACAGAGGTGAAAACATGTGTAATTAACGGTCTATCAAACTCCCCCACACTTAACCGTTTGCTTGTCCCCAAGGAAACCTAACTCAAACCAATGCAACTCTCCAGACCTCTATAGCAACAAACAACCCAGATCGTAGGTAGAGGACTTCCTAGATCATTTAGCAACTTACGAGGTCAACCGACGCATAAGTCATCTCATAGCTTCTTCGGCGAGAGCACTAGTATCGAGCCGGCATCATGGCAAACAGTGAACAGAGGACAAATGAATTGTGGATGAAGAGATTCTAAAAAACAAAGGATCATGGACTCACATTTTTCAAGGTGCTCTATTTTCTTCTTGAAGATGGTTGGAACCCCTTTTCTTTCTGTTTTGCTTGTTTTCTGTTTTTTTTTTTTTCTTTTTTTTTCTTTCAAGGGTCCCAACCTGCTCTTACCGGCCATGCCAGGAGCGGATGTCTCGAGCCTCGTGCGGGGGAAAGACATGTAAGGGGGCTGGAGGTAGTAGGTGGAAATTGGGAACGAATTCCCGTCTCCCCTTACACACTTTCGCCCTATTCGCACGGGAGACGTTATTTTGAAGCACATTTTCGAGCACCTGTTAAACTCAAAACATGATACAAGAGTCCATGGCAGGTAGAGAATCCACAACATCACACAATTCAAGGGTCCTAAAATCACTAATTCACTCAATCAACCAACACAATATGAAGAAGAAATGAGACTTCTAAAATGCATCAACATCCTCCATAGTGCTACACTACCTCCCTAGGTTGCATATTACTATAAAGACTGTCAATTCAAAGCATACTGAGCAGGCAATTGCACGGAAACACGTACTTGGAGCCCTCAAATTTAAAAATTTGGACAGTGGACTAGGCTCCAAGCACAAAAACAGATCTAATGCAGTCAAAAGATAAACATCCCACACTTAAGATCGACATTGCCCTGAATGGAGAAGAGGGAAGGGAAAGGGAAAGATGTTACCGGTATGCACGGACTGCAGGAGACTGGAAGCGGACTGGAGAGAGTACCAGTCAAGACAAGCACAGCCAAAGGAAACCAAAGAGCTCAAACACAATATGTTAGGTCCAATGGTCAGCCCAATAAAACATCATCCAAAACAAAAGAAAACAAACCAAAACCAAATTGGTTTACAATCCGACTCAAAACACAAGAAAGAAAATCAAACCGTGGTGGGGTTGCCTCCCCACAACCGCTTCTTTACCGTCTTTTAGATGGACGCCAATTGCGGAACTAAGGGTCCGCGAGCTCCACTGCTAACTCCGCACGTTCGACCTCGTCTCCCAGGTATAGCTTGAGACGATGGCCATTCACTTTAAACGGCTCAGTTTGCGGGTTAGCAATTTCAATGGTGCCATACGGGAACACCTGTGTGACCGTGTACGGTCCAGACCACCGGGAACGGAGTTTTCCGGGAAAGAGCTTCAGGCGAGAGTTATAAAGGAGAACTCGATCACCAACCTGGAACTCTTTCGGACCCCGCAACATGCATCGTGCAGGCGCTTAGTGCGCTCCTTGTACAGCTTGGTGTTCTCATAGGCGTGATAACGCCACTCTTCCAGCTCCAACATATGCATTTTTCGCTCAACACCTGCAACACTAACATCCAAGTTTAGCAGCTTAAGGGCCCAGAAGGCCTTGTGCTCTAGCTCCACGGGCAAATGGCAAGCCTTTCCATAGACAAGCCGGTACGGTGAGGTACCAATGGGCGTCTTGTAGGCAGTGCGATATGCCCACAGAGCATCATCGAGCTTGGTGGACCAATTCTTGCGGGATAGGTTCACCGTCTTCTCCAAGATCCGCTTGAGCTCCCGGTTCGTCAGCTCGGCCTGGCCACTGGTTTGAGGATGATAGGCCACGGACACCTTATGAGTTACAACATAGCGAGACAACAATTTATCGAACTGACCCTGGAAATGGGTGCCTCGGTCGCTTATGATTGCTCTAGGTGTCCCGAACCGGGAGAATAGCTGCTTCAGAAAACCACAAACACGTCTAGCATCATTGGTGGGCAAAGCTTGCGCCTCAGCCCACCTAGAGACGTAGTCAACAGCAACAAGGATATATGTATTACCAAAGGATGGAGGGAAGGGGCCCATGAAGTCGATACCCCAGACATCAAAAATCTCACAAGTAATAAACACATTCTGGGGCATCTCATCACGGGCCGAGATGTTACCTAACCTCTGGCATCGGTCGCACCTGCGTGCGAAGGCGTCTGCGTCCTTGAAGAGCGTGGGCCAGTAGAAGCCCGACTGGAGAACCTTCCTCGCCGTGCGGTTTCCTCCGTGGTGACCACCAGCAAGTCCTTCATGACAGTGAGATAGAATGCTCTCAATCTCACTCTCCATAACACATCGACGGATGATCCCGTCGGCTCCGATCCTGAAGAGATGGGGGTCATCCCAGAAGTAGTACTTCAGGTTGGAGAAGAACTTCCTCTTGGCGTGAGTTGTCATCCCCTTGGGCAGCTGCTCGCCCACAAGATAATTTGCAAAATCAGAATACCAGGGGGTGACACTCTCCACCAGGCACATCATCAGCAGTCTCTCATCTGGAAAGGAGTCATTGATCTCCTCCTCGAGGTTTTCCGCAGGGGTTGGGTCCAACCGGGAGAGGTGATCGGCAGCAACATTCTCTGCTCCCTTCATGTCCCGAATCTCAATGTCAAACTCCTGCAGCAGTAAGATCCATCGTATGAGCCTAGGCTTGGCATAGCCTTGCTCATCAAGTATCTAATTGCGGAGTGATCAGTATACACAATCACATGGGACAAGACCAGATAAGGACGAAATTTATCGAAGGCAAACACCACCGCGAGCAGCTCTTTCTCCGTTAATTGCACATGTTTTTACCTCTATTCTGGAGCTGTTTGGGATGGTAATTCTCGTGTTTTAGGCCTATTTTACGCTAGGTTGTGTTCCTTTGTCACATTTCAGGCCCTAGCACATAAAGTGAAGCGTAGGCGCAAGTTTCAAGTCAATCGGAGATCATTTGACAATTCGGGAGAAGAAACACGAGCATGACCTGAGGAAGAATGGATTTACACCTCATCTTATGGACAAATAATCATGGAATCTTGTCATCAAAAGATAGAGGACGAGACTACGAGCGTCTGGGTTCAAACGGCGACTGATTTGGAGTCCGGACGAGGGAGAAACGAAGCTTTGAACAGGGGCGGAGGAAGAATTACGGGCAGGAGAATTACGACCGTAATTTTCCCTCCCATGCCCGTATTTTCACTGCCGAGAGGAGGTTTGGATGCGCTGAAACTTAACCAAAACGCGTGTTTTGGGCAAAATACGGGCATGGAAGAATTACGACCGTAATTCAGCCCGTAATTCGCCCAGAATCGGGTTTTTTAGGCCAATTTCGAGCCAAGGGAGAAAGAGAGCTGGGTTTTTGGATCCCAAACACCCAAGGGACGAACCCTAGAGAGAGAGCGACTTGGGAACATTCTTGGAGCTATTTTGGAGGATTTCTTCACCATTGGAGCTCGGGAATCAAGCTTGGAGATGGAGATTGAAGATCTAGATCAGATTTCTGCAGTCTCTCTCTTCTCTATGGAGTAACTTCCCTTCACTTAGGTTTTGAGGAACCTTAGTTCCATGAGTTAGGATCTTTCTTGTATGAAGTTTTGGATGCTATATTGTTTGATTATAATCGAATGATGCATGTTTATTGAGTCAATTGAAGTCTGATCAACTTTTCCTGATTCCTGCTGCAATCTGAGATAGATAGAATCTGATTAGGTTGCTAGAGTCTCATCATTCGGTAGTAGGAGATTGGCTATACGAGAGTTAGCCAGTTTACTGCTTTGTACTGGAATCCAATTCCAGTAGTGGAGTTCTGTGCTTATTGCTTCAACTTTCTATCCCGGTGAAGACTAGTCGTCTGCCGGATAGTTAGACTGAGAGGGCTTGGTCAGCTTAAGAGATTCCAAGCTACTGTCGGATCTTCCGCAGTTTAATCAACAGTAAATCAACCAAAAGGAATTACAACTTGGACCTAATTGAGGAGCTAGGGGGAATCATACCTAAGTGAGTTCCCAAACTGTAATTAGTAGTTTTACTTAGTTTAGTTAGTAGAGTAGTTTAGTTAATCAATCCTTAATCTAGTTTGCTAGATAATGAACTGAAGCTGAGTAATAGTAACTCTAGAGACCCGTGGATTCGATATTTATTACTTGTGCCACTATACTGCAGTCCCTTTCATTGGTTACACTTGGCCATTGTTAGGTGTTGTGTTTTAGGCGTGTCAAGTTTTTGGCGCCGTTGCCGGGGAACCTCTAGGTTATTGGGGAAACGTAAGAATTTGTTATTCTAGCCTTTTATTTACTGCATTTTATCTCTTCCACCTGTGTGCCTTCACGGGTTGTTTCTGCTGATTGTGTGCAGGTAGTGCATGACCCGTAGCCAGTCGGGAGATCTACTACCACTAGACCAGGAGCTTGAACGAACCTGCAGAAACTTCAAGCGGGCTCTAAAGGCGCGACTGGCTGCGGAGGAGGCGCTATCACAGCTGCATTTAGAGGAGGAAGAAGAAGAGATGGCTGAACCAGGGAACCATGATATGATCCCTGAGGAGCAAACCATGGGATCCTACTGGACCGCTAGAGCTGCGGACATGAGGTCACCCATTCAGCATCCTCATGTCCCAGCCAACAATTTTGAGGTGAGCACCTCAGTAATCACCATGCTGCGCGGTTCAGTGGTGTTCCGTGGTAAGGAGGGGGAGTGCCCCCGATCACATCTCCGGCGATTCCATGAGCTCATTGATGGAATCAAGATCAATGGGGTACCCGCAGATGCCATCCAGCTGAGGTACTTCCCTTTCACCCTGGAGGGGCAGGCCAAGGAGTGGCTAGACACTCGACCTCCGGGCTCCATCACCACGTTCGCCAACCTGGCGGACAAGTTCCTCACCCGCTACCATCCTCCATCCAAGACAGCTGATTTGCAGAAGCAGATCACCCACTTCACCCAGGACGAAGATGAGACCATCAGGGACGCTTGGGAGAGATACACCAGTCTTTTCCTCAGGTGTCCCAATCATGGTTTCAATGATGCATTCAAGGTGGGCACCTTCTATCACGCCCTCTTCCCGGAGGACAAGCAGCTGATTGATTCGGTTTGTGGCGGGAACATGCTGACAAAACCCCCGCCACAACTGAATCAACTCTTTGAGGAGATGGCGGAGAACGGGTACGACTGGGGCACTGCCAGGAGATCGAGGCGAGCACCAGGACGTGGTGTGCATGCTGTGGGCACCCAGTCATCTGATTTGGTGCAGGTGGTATCGAAGCTGGTCTCAGCTATCGATCGTTCTGGTTTGATTGCAGGTACAGGACAGCCGCAGGCGATGCACTGCCAGTGGTGTGAGAGCTCCCATCACGCCGTAGAGGAATGTCAGGCGATGAGGGAATCGTCTACTACCCAGGAGCATGTGGACTTTATCAGCAATGCCAGGCGCTTCGACCCCTACAGCAACACTTATAACGAGGGGTGGCGCCAGCATCCTAACTTTTCTTGGGCTGGGGCAAATCCCAAACCACCAGCTCCCGAGGGACCACCGGGCTTCCAGAGGCCTCCGTACCAGCCCAGACAGGGGCAATTTCAGCAGCCCAAGCAGCCACTCTACCAGCCCAGACAGGGGCCAGTTCCGCCACAGTCACAAGTGCGACCATTTCAGCAGACAGGAGCAGCACCTGCAGCTCCAGTACAGAGTGACCCGATGGCGGAATTGAGAGATTTGGTGGGTTCTCTGGCCACCTCCAGTGCGAACAAGTTCAATAACATCGAGCAATTCATGGAGAAAGCTTCAGGCAAGTTCTTGGAGCTAGAAGCTGGTCAGAGAAATACACAGGCTGTGCTGCGGGATATACAGACCCAGCTTGGGAGTGTTGCCCAGGCTGTAGCTCAGAGGACTCCTGGTACCTTGCCTGGTCAGACCATTCCTCATCCGCAGGATCCGAATGCCAACTGTAGTGCCATCACAACCAGGAGTGGCAAGGTGACTGCCGATCCGCCTGTTCGGGCAGAGGAGAGAGAGACCCCTGCTTCAGCACTTCCAGTTAATCAGGAAGAAATGGAGAAGGAGGTTGAGGTGCCTGCTCCTAAACCGCAACCAGTGGTGAAGGAGTATGTACCACAGCTTCCCTTTCCTACTCGGTTGCACAAGGACCGACTGGAGACTGAGTTTGCCAAATTCATGGCAATGCTGAAGCAGGTAAACATTAGCATGCCCTTTGTGGAGGCATTATCGAAGATGCCCAAGTATGCCAAATTCATGAAGGATCTCCTCACCAACAAGAGGAAGCTTGGGGAGCTGTCAACGGTGATGCTCAACGAGGAGTGTTCTGCCATCCTGCAGAACAAATTACCAGAGAAGCGAAAAGACCCAGGGAGTTTCACTATCCCTTGCATGATTGGTAGTTTGCATGTAGGGAAGTCCTTGGCGGATTTAGGCGCTAGCATAAATGTCATGCCTTATAAACTGTTTAAAAAGCTAGGCCTAGGTGAACCCAGTGATACTAGGATGAGCATCCAGCTTGCTGATAGATCTATTGTGCATCCTAGGGGTATAGCAGAGGACTTGATAGTTGCATAGGGCCATTTTCATATCCTGTTGATTTTGTGATTTTGGACATAAATGAGGATGTTGATGTGCCATTGATACTGGGTAGACCTTTTCTCGCCACCGCCAAGGCGCTTATTGATGTTAATGATGGGAAACTGATTTTGAGAGCTGGGGGTGAACAAATCACCTTCTCTGTTTCTGATAATATGAAACACCCTCAGCTCCATGATGATCTAGATTACTGTGATGTTGTTGCTGATTTTGAGACCGCACTCGCCATCACGAGTGCGGGTACTGATGATTTCCTTGAGCGTTGTCTTTTGCTAGGGAAACAGGCATCACAGGATGTGCAGCTAGAGGAGCAGCTGGCAGAGCTGGACGAGGCCATGATCGAGGGGCGAGAGATACCATTCAAGCCGATCCCCATCTCGCCCCGGCTCGCTACATCATTGGAGGAGCCACCAGAGTTGGAGCTTAAGCCCCTCCCATCTCACCTGGAGTATGCATTTCTCCGGGAGGGGAATAAGCTCCCGGTCATTATTAGCTCGGATCTGACACCCGAGCAGAAGAGCAGGCTGGTGGCTTTGCTGCAGAAGTATGCCCAGGCCATGGCATGGAAGATCACAGACATCAGAGGCATTAGCCCGTCCTTCTGCTCCCACAGAATTCTGATGGAGGATGAGGTTAAGCCAGTCAGGCAGCCGCAGAGGAGATTGTCTCCTAACTTGGAGGCAGTGGTCCGGGCAGAGATTGTGAAGCTCATGGATGCAGGGATCATCTTTGCTATATCTGATAGCAAGTGGGTCAGCCCCACTCAGGTGGTCCCGAAGAAAGGCGGGATGACTGTGGTCCCGAATGAGAAGAAGGAGTTGATCCCGATGCGGACCGTGACCGGCTGGAGAGTCTGCATCGATTACCGGCGCCAGAATGACGCCTCCAGGAAAGATCATTTTCCCCTACCTTTCATTGATCAGATGTTGGAGAGGTTGGCTGGCCATGAGTTCTATTGCTTCCTGGATGGCATGTCTGGTTACTTCCAGATTCCTATTGCTCCGGAGGATCAGGCGAAGACCACCTTCACTTGCCCCTTCGGTACATTTGCTTATCGGAGAATTCCATTTGGGCTGTGTAATGCACTGGCGACCTTCCAGAGATGCATGCTGGCGATCTTCGACCGACTGGTTGGAGAGATCATGGAGGTCTTCATGGATGACTTCTCGGTTTATGGAGACTCCTTCTCTCATTGTCTCCATAACCTGGAACTCGTTCTGAAGAGG